ATTCATTCCTTTCTCTTTCACACAAAAATGAGGCAAGCTCGTTAATGGCATACATGATCTTAACACTGGACCTGCCATGGCCAACCTCATCTCAATGGCAATTAGTCAGCCATGGTCTTCATCCTGTCTGCACAGGAGTTGGCGCAAGTATTATTGAGACCTTGAGTGCACCTCCCTCAAGGCCCGGAGGTCGGTGGGACTTTGAGCCATTTGACTCTCCCCGGAAGGCCCATCTCGCTGTTTGGTTACTGATGGGTGTCCCGAGTACGAACACCAGACCTTGGCATCGTGACAGGGTTTACAAATAATAGAGCTTCTTGCTCCTGCACTGTTCGCAGGGAGCCCGCTCTTTGTCATCGTCATTGCCATCTCCACAGTTGTCAGGGTTTCCACTGATGGCCTGTTCCAAACAAAAGTCAGATAAGTTCTAAAGAAAAGACTGCGAAGTACCTCGGCCTGCGCCCACTCCTTTACTCTTCATCATTCTGTTGAGCTCTACCACTGGTCGGGCTGGTGAAGCGGAAGTCCCTCTTTGACTTCTGGCTGTCGCAGCCTCCGCCAACCTCCTCCTCCATTCGACAACTGTTTTCTCCTGTTCTCAAGCCCAAAGGGCCCGATCATATGCATCTTGGGCTGCTTGGCATCGTGTCACCGCCGCCTGCTTTTTTCGCTCTTTCTCTTCTGCCGTCTTCTTGGCGGCTGTCTCCTCCACTGCGTTTTTCTTAGCAGCCTCCTCCGCCTTCCACACCTTTACTCTTTTGACTCTCGCTAGAGCCTCCCTCATAATGATGTCTTCTTTGTCATTGACAGGGGCGCCGGGACTTGGGGGATTGGCAGGGCAAGGAAGTGCTTGCAGTAGGATTGTTGGTGGTGGTGGTGGTGGTATGGCTAGTCGTCATCTTAGTGGACTTGAAAATTTTTCCAGGAAAAGTTGGGCCCACAGTGGTAAAACTGTAAGACCTGGGTCGAAATTGGTCTTAAGGGTAGGTTTGGTATGAGTGATTTATGTTGTAGCATGCTAGGAGCAAGCTGGAGCTCAAAGGGAGCTACGGGAACTACGACCGAGGATAGGAATGACCTAGTGATAGTTCAGATTGAGAGAAGTGACCCTTGAAGGGGTTCCTAGGATGTTAACTGGTGGAGTTAAAGGTAACCAGGAGCTAGGGAATGTCAGAGTGTTGCATAGTACGAATTGTAGTAGCTAGGAGCGTCAATGTAGGATTGTTATAGCTAGTAGTCAATGTGGGATGCAAATGTGAGAGCTCCTAATGGAGTGCAAGTCCAGGAGGAAGGTCCCAGGAAGTGGGGGGTAGCAGCTGATATTCTCAAGTGGTGGAGGTAGTAATGGAGAAGCAGCACGTAGTTCGACGTTACCTAGGTCAAGATCCCAGAGCTTGTGAAGCACTTGGGGAGCTTGAGGAGGTTTGGGGGAGGTTGGCTCACCAAGACGATAGACGTTGGGGGGCTTTAGTATTGGTCAAGGGAGCTTGAAGACTCACTCAGATTGCTTAGATGTGAAGTAAAAGCATATATTGGATCATGTAGACAGTTGTAGAGACAAGAAACAAGAGTAGAGAGATTGAGATAAAGAAACAGAGAGTAAAGAGAATTCCATATAGGTAGCAGGTGCAAAGGGACAGGGACTGGACCCATGTAAAGGGTGTGTGTTCCACTGGCCTCTCGATGTTTGAGCTGCAATATGGTTGTTGCCCGCAGGTTATCCCCCCCTGGTTCCTGATGCTTCCCTTAATATTCCTAATTTGTCACAGGATGCAAACAATGCATGTGATTTTCTTACCAATATCGACTTGAGTGTATGTGAGGCAAAAGACAATCTCACACTGGCTAAGGTAGGTATGAAATGTGATCTAGTTCGTTGGACGAAACGGATCCATCTTGAGTACGATGGAGGGTTTAACCTGGTCTGAGGGACAACTCGAACTGGGGGAGACTCGTAAGTTTTCTTAGTTCTGACTTAGATTCGAAACGATGGGGGGGTAAAAATCTGTCCTCTATTTTTCCTCTACCTACACTCTAAGTAGGGAGAGGTAACGAGTTGTGTAATATACGAAATAATAAGAAAATAATATCTAAGATAAATAAAAGGTCCCCTCAAACGCTAGACCATGCAGAGGGATCGGATGATAAGTACTGTTTAAGGAAATCTCTGAGCGGGATCGGTAACTGCAGGCACCGTTCTTGAGGGATTTCTGCAGGATCCGGGCTGCAAGCTCCACACTAATCCGATGCACTGCATAGTGCGAAGGATTTGTCGAGTTCCAAGTGCAGGAGCATATGGCGCTCAACATAGTGCAGGAATATCAAGCTAATAAAAGTCACGGCCCTTGTGATTTGTTTGAGGAAGGTGACTTGGTCATGTTGTTAACCTACCACTGCCACGAAATCTTCAAAAAGGCTGGGGAAAAGTGTGCCATTAAGTTCTTTGCCAGGTTTGATGGTCCGTACAAAATCATTAAAGCCTTCCCCGCTACTTCCCATCACACACTCAATATGCCAAACCAACCAAATGCATACCCTTCATTCTATGTCGATCAGTTGAAAAGATTTGTTCCCAACAATCCTACCCTGTTCCCGAACTGCGAGCATCCAGTTCCCAAGCCTACAATTATCAACGGTCATGAGGAGTTTGACATTGACCGTATTCTTGATTCATGGTGCCGCAGTCGTGGTTGGCAGTTCTTGGTCAGATGGGTTGACCAGGCCCCTTCCGAGGATCACTACCTATCATACAGTGCTTTACATGATTGTGAGGCTCTGGACCATTGGGTCCGCAATGGCGGCGATGGCCCGCCTGACTTGCTGAATTCTGTTGAACTATGATCTTGGTTCCTCCGTCTTTTCTGTATTTCTTTGCCTTTATTTTATTTTTTTTTCCCTCTCTCTTCTTCAATTCCTTTCCCTTTTCTTTGGCTTTATTACATTTTCATTACATGTTCCTTACTTTTATTCTACTTTCCGATTGCCTGTTACACTAACTGCATTCTTGGCCCATACATCTTTTTGGTTGGGTGGGGATGTAAGTTTACGCTGACACGCATATAGTCACATACGTGACATATCACACTATATATTAATAGATAGCCTTTCTCCAGGACCAGCTTGCGGTCTGACTTCCATCTACCGATATAGAGTACTCTCCTCTGTATCCACTACTCCTCTTGCCTTTTCCACTTCCTTCTCAATCATAGTTGATTCCTAATATCTGGTCTTCTTGTGAGTCTGGCTCAGTGTTACCTGCGATTATCGCAGGTTTCCAGTCACGCGTAAAATAATAATAGTGTATCAATAGCCCAATGTAAATAACTTACTAGTCAAGACTTTATCAACAAAGTCAGTGGAATTAAACGCGTATACCAAGTGCCAGTCTCGAGTACCACACTGACGATGTATACAATATTATAGTTCCAAATTGTTTTATTCCGCCGAATTCACTTGTTACGGACGCCACGTGATTGCGAAGCACAGTGTGCGAATAATCGTCCGAAGTTGAACCCTGAACGCAACCTGAACGTGAACTTGAAATCGGAATAAACCATCGCGTCGCCTTACTTGCTTTATCTTTTATATGATCGCTGAGGCATACTGCTATGGGGGACAGTCTATTCCTTGAAGGGCGTACGAGGTCCAAGTTGACTCTTCCAGAAGCCTCAATCGAATCATCTCGTTCGCCGCTGAAAAACGCACGACTAGCGGTCAGAGATCGGTTTCGATTAGAACTTGAAGAAGGAAGTGAAGCCAGAGTGGAGGATTCAGAGAAAGAGGATGAGATGAACTTGTCCCGGAAGAAGCTAGGAGACAAAAGGTCGCCTTCTCCAAGTGCATCGACAGATTGGCCTCGACTGAAACGATTCAAGTCGTCGCTGAAAGGAAGTGATCTTGAAGCTAACATTGCTTCGAAACCCGCACATTCTCGCCACCTTTCAGACTCCACCCTGCTTGTTGCCAAAATTCGACGCAAACTGTCAGCGACTACGTCGACGCCGAAATCATCGAGTACTTATTCGACGTTCTCTTATGTCCCAGTTAGTGAGTAACTGGAATTTTAGATATCCCCAACATGAACGTCCGCCCTGATTTTCAAAATTATAGTGCCCCATTTAATCAACTCCGATACCAGTGTTTTGGCACGACTCGACCATGCATTGGCAGCCCTTTCCAAACTCCCTCCCGCTTGGGAACCAATGCGTCTAAACACTAGTATGGGCTTCAACCGTGACGATCCCGATTCCAGTATTGAAATCGAGGGGGGGAGTACAGATAGTGTGTTGGGAAAGGGAAAGAGGAAATCGATATCGACAGTTGGACTTGGTCGGCCAAGCACAAGTAAGGCGTCGACTACAAGCTCCAATCGTCACGCTTCCAACTCCAAACCCTCATCATCTATGTCGTCCTCCCCTGAAGTATTGGCTCAGTCAAAGATGTCCCAGTTCCTTCCAGTAGGCACAGGTCCTGGCTTGAAGAAGAAGAATAAAACTGCTGTCGTCATGCGTGGCGGACGACTGGGAATGTCGATGCAGACTGGAATCGGGAATCGATTTCCCGTTGGTCCGGGCTCACTTGGTTCCAGAGGCAAGAAAGCTAGCCAGAGGACAACTTTACCCAGTGTTGTCGCTAGTCCCGTGAAGGGCGGTGGTTATGGTTATGCGCACCAAAATCACGATGTAGAAATGAGTGACGGGGAAGTTACTCAACTTGATATCTCTATGAGTGGGAATCAAAGTGATATGGATATTTCTGAGCTAGAGGCTGTTGGCGGTGGCAGCAGAGAAATGGGCAATGGCTTGACGATGAAGAGGCATTCAGTTGCGTTGAGTCGGTCAATGAGTGCTCTGCCGAATACGACTACCATGGACTTGATGGGTCCGCCTCCGCCACCGACATCTCCTCCTCGCCGAGCGGGTCTTCGTAGCTCCAGTAGCTCATACCCATCTTCTGGTAACACTTCCCAGCCTCAGGCTCCTCCGAAATTCGTTCCTGAGTTGACCGTGTTGGAAGGCTGTACGGTATTTGTGGATGTATGGATGAGTGACGGGCAGGACACATCATCACTTTACATTGATATTGCGAAGAATATGGGTGCTCGGGTGTGTGGTCCTTTGAAACATTTCATTTCGCTAGTCTCAATCTGAGTTGCCAGGTTGTGAAGAGAATTGGGCCCCAGTGTACACATGTTGCGTATACGTCTGGTCGTGAAAGGACTGTGGAGCAGTATTTGTTCGTAATATAATCTCTCGTCTTCTCTTTCTTCCTACTGATGTGTTGCTGCTTAGTGCCCTGGACGAGGCAAAACGACCGAAAGCGGTAGGAGCATCTTGGCTCAGAGACTGCAAACAAGCGGCCGCGCGTTTAGACGAAGAGCCTTACCTGGTCGACCTAGAGGAACATAAACCCGATCCGACGAGTAAATTTTTCTCTTTGAAGGGCGATAAGGATAAACGACACAAAGTTCGTCTTGTCTGTCGATAAACCCCGTAACAATGCCTGAAGCTTTTTTCAGCGTCGTCAATCGTATATCCCGAAATTCTGTGGCACAGATGATAACGGAACCGAAGATGGAGACATATCTATCGATGAGTCGAATACCTGTGAGCTTCCGATTTCTCGAGATTCTTGGTTCATGGCTGACTGTTTCTTCAAGCTATGGTCGACGACGAAATGACGCCTTTGGAAAGAGCCCGATTGAGACAAAGTACAGTGGGCTCTTCCACGCACAAATGAAATGCACGAGGATCATATGATATGATGCAATACGATTATGTTGTGCGGGATCTAATCCTGGCGACTTTTATGAGCATAATGATTTCCGCTCAGATTTGTGAACTGTAATCTTTACATTCTTATTTCCGATTTGTCCATACCCTACGGCCTACCCTCTTTTTCATCCTTTCCACATCATAAGTATACCTCATCGTTTGTCTGCTTAAAATAAATCACAAATCGGTCTATTTGTATGCGCATACGTGGTACGAATGAGAATGTAGTGTTGGATCGGCCAATTGAATGCGAAAACGAAGCAAACAGGAGTCATAATGATAAGATCAAGGAATAGATAAGATCAACCACTCAGCTTCTAACCTCCCAATACTTCTTATCCTCCTCACGCGATATCATTCAAGATGTCGACCATCTACATTGATGAAGTCACTGGCTCAGATACCACAGGACAAGGAACAGAAGCCCAGCCTTATCAATCTCTTGCTTTCGCCATCTCCACTACTGCTGATGCCAAATATCTCATTCGTAAAGACGCAAATACATCCTATGATGAACCCACTCAATTTGCAATAAAAAAGGGCAAAAAGGGTGCTGACGGATTAGAGAAGAAAGGGAAGAAAGCGGAGGAACTTGCTGAACGCGAAGCCAAGGAAAAGGGCGAAGAAGTTAAGAACGGGAAAAGCGGGAGAGGCTGTTGGAGGAGAGTAAAAGTATCGTTCTTACTGAAGATACCAGTCTAGCAAAAGCTATCAAGGTATTTAACAATTACTTTTTCATCTTAAATGTTGTATAACATGAACTCTGTTCCAGGCAAAGATATCACATCTTCAGTCTTAACACCATGGAATCATATCAGTCCCCCAATACACCTTTGCGCATCGACACCGAATGGCTTGCTAACGCCAACTCACCATCGAACTCCTTTTCTTCTACCGGTCCCAGCGGTCGCGACGTGCCTGCTCTCCGCGTTTCGACTTCGCCTACAAGAACAGGCTTTGAGAAACCTCCTCCTTCTCCACGTAAAGATAATTCCCTCAAGAGCACAAGTAGAGGAAACGAATCCAAAAAGCTTCTCGCACATGTGCTGGAGCAAATCAAGGATTGAAATATGCCACCATCAGTATACGATGCGTTGTCGTCTGCTGCGGAAAACTCGAATGAGAAAAAACTAGGGTCCTTTATAGACAGGGCAGTTAAGAGGAGGGATGCAGGGAAGGATCGGAAGGCAGCTCTATATGCAGATGATGAAAGCGAGGACGAAGATGAAAGAGCCTTTTCCATAGATGCGACGTTGGAACTCATGACACGACTTCGAGAGCTACTTATCATATCTGCCTCGCAAGGCTGGCGGATATTCGATGATGGGTAAGTCCAACTGAGTCTATCACATGAATACTACTCAGCCCTGCTATTTGAGTATATCCCAAGATCCCTATATGCAACGCACCTCAAGCGGTGGCAGGTTCTCATCACCCTTTCGACGCTCCCTTCAGCCTAGGGGAAAACGTTCTAGATCTCCCTCTCCAGATCCTAAAGCTCGAGATACTACTTCCACAGGTCTTCTAACACAATGTATCAGTGCCATTGCTTCTGTTGTCTCGGAAGATTGTCGCTTCCAGATAGCTTCTCCTTCTCCTTCGCGCCCGCCGTACGCATTGCAAGCCGTAACACTGGAAGTCGCCCAATTCTTGTTACATACTTATCGACGCGCCTCTGAGATCGTATCTCAAATCGTTTTCGCTCTCATACCCGCATTCTCGACCTTCCCGAGAGAGATGCACGCGCGTCTCTTAGCATTTTTTGAAGAATGCGTAACGAGAAACGCGTTAGAAGAGCTCAGCTTGATTCAAGGCGTTCGAGGTATCAAATCAGCTCAAGGCAAGCGGTCTAAATCTGTGTTTCCACCATTATACCTAATATCTGGTATCAGGTCCTCGGCAGCAAATTGAAGAACAGAACGAAACAGTGGTTTCTATCAGGGTTGATGAAGCATTTGACGATCCAATGTCTCCCGGCACTTCTGAATGGACGCTGTGGACACGTATTGGCGCTCAGCTGGTGTCATTGAGGTCGACGAATTCACCGTTTCAATCACCATCCACGTATGATTATGCTTCATTCTTCTCGCCGCTTCTAGCAGCTATTCTTGAGAACATAGACTTTGTTCGCAGCCGTGTTGAGGTGCTACAACGCCTGTATAGATTACTTCTACTCTTCGCTGTCCACGCAATTGCAGATCATCAACAATGGCCTTGAATTGAATAACGGTGGTGATTATGTAGCGTCGAGAAAAACATTAGTTAGTCGATATGCAATCGATGCATTGATTGTTTGGAATGAACTTTATTCGGTCTTTGAAAGTCTGATACATTTTTTCGAGGCTGAACTTCATGCTGGATTGTCCTCCGTGAGTTGTCAAAAGATTCTTGATTCACACAGATTGTTTTACAGTCCCTACTAGACATTGGCTATGTTGACCTGGTCTACGGTGGACGATCTCTTCTTATTTCTAAGACACCTACCATCCCCAGTTGTACTGCACACATCTTCACAGATCAGCCTCTTGGAACGCCTGAAACCCCTCGGTCGAGGCGAAGATAATGGATATATTATTATAATAGGATCATGGTATACATAATGAAGTTAGTATTCGCTCTTTGGGCTGTTCGTAAACGAATTTTCTGGGCTGCATTTCGCTTTTCTTTCATGATAGTGAACCCGACAAAAAAAACCGATTGCAGAAAGACCGACAATAAGGACGAAGAGAGGCAATTGAATAGCCCATTCTCGAGCTGGGAAGTAGCCGTGCAAAGCACTTGAAGAATCGAAAAAGGGCTAGGAAAGGATTCACCGTTAGGATGAGCGATTAACTCAATACAAGACAAAAGTAAGTACAATATTTCTAAAATCAAAAATCATGCAAGGAAAGGGGCATAGTGGAAGCTTTTTCAGTACGAGTCAGAACAGTAAATTATACGCCTTCTGCAACAAGATAACGCATTATAACAGTGGGACTGATGTTACTAGCTCTTCCCTGGGCCATGAGTCGTGTGATGTTGAGATACTTGTGGTACATCCAAATGATGCCACCCTGCCTCACAGAATGGTAAGTGTAGCAAGACACATCCTCCTCAACATCAACTATAGCTAAAAAATCTCTGAAATTCTTAAGATAATCTTTAGAGTCCTGCAGTATTTATTCCTGAGTGGGAAAAAGAACACAAACAAATTTTTCTCACCATGTAGACCAGAGGACTCAACGTATTGCCATAGATTTTTGGGAATAGGTAGCCATCCTTGACGCCACTGATTCTCATCCATCTAGTAACCGCCCCAACAACACAGTATGGAATCATCTCCAGTTCAGTCTCAGTAATAAAATGCATGGGTTGAACCCCTGAGTACCATGGATAAATTGCAGTGAAAGAAGGAGCGTTAAGATGCACATACTCGAAGTCTTGCTGACGTTAATGGTTAAATGGGTGGTATTATCGTGCAAGCTGAAGCTTAGATCTTCGACTCTAAGGGTAAGGACACGAGAAATTCCAAGGGTGGCACGGAAGCCAATCACAGTTTGCGCATAGGTAGCTTCATGCTCTATACTTTCACACTGCCACCCAGGTGAAGGCTCAGTGTTGGTAGCATTGTCGGCTGGCAAGGTGTCTAGCAATGTTCTGAATTCCTCGATTGTCTTGCCCGAAAGCCCTTTAGAGCGCTTGCAATTGAGCTGGTCAGACAGTCAAATCACTAATCAGTAGATGACTCGATTATGAACTAACGTACGACGGAGCGACGGCGTAACTCTGTCATGTAGTCACGAAGGTTCTTAGAATCAGCAGGGTTTGCGACATTTTTGTATTTTCGAAATCTGTATTGAACGCAAAATCGCATCCTCACCGCACTTGCATACAAGGCTGCGTTAGAATCGAAGACGTCGGGGTTGCAGCTACAACATTCGACTGGATAAGGAACGGCTCAGTTTCGATCCATCCCGTACGCACTTTTCTGTGATCCATTCTAGAATGAATCGGGACATGTGCTGGGAGCTTGCAGCTTTCAGCGAAAAAACATCTTCATTCGGATCCCACTCTTGATTCTTCACCAGCCACTGACGAAACGAAGCCCAAAGCCTACAAAGATGGGCAGAACTTGAAAAACATGAAGCAATGTTCACAAACCGAGTATATTCCCTTGATGCGCCACGACTCAGTCCCACCTCCATAAGAGCGCAATCGACTTCGCCTACAACACTCATCAGAGTCTTCCCAAGCGTAGTGCGCTCTGGACTCACCAGTAGCCCCAGCAGAGGTCAAGGGACTAGGCTGGTTGGAAAAAGTTGTAACCGCCGTTTCAACAACGTTCTCGGTGTTGGAGTGCGCCATCTGGATAGATTTTGCAGAGAGAAGCTCGAGTAAAAACTGGTTTGATAAGGTCCAGTGAGTGTCCGAATCGATGATGATTATTTCGGTCAGGCTTGAACGGATTGCAGTCTTATAGTAGGAGAGTGAATATTCCTAGTCCGCACTGCGGACTGGGAACTTTCACCGGCATTACCGTCTCCGCAGCAGAGTCGTGTTTGCCTACGTCACACAATCTGGAGTCAAGTATAGTGGGCCATGCTGCGGTGGCACGTCAAATCACTACATTGAGAGCGTCCAAAAGGTTATTTGAATGATTTCAAAACAAGATGTAGACAAAAGATAGCAAGTAAGAGTGAACCATATAGTCATTAGATACTATGAAAGGAAAAGGATGAATCACAACGTTATGAGTAGCACGGAAAACATATATTCATTACACAAACAATGCTTGGAGATCATATTCGAGCTGTTCGGATTAGGCTCCGTATCGTGTAGCGAGTTCTTCTTGAGTGATGGGAGAAAACGCTGAAAATGCAACAGACCAACTGACTGCATCGTGCTTCTTGAGGTCATGTAACACAGCTCGAAACATATCACTGAGCTCCCGCGATGGTTGTTGCCATTTGATCATAGAATCGCAGAATGGGATCAAACTCTAGATCGCAGATAAAAGGATGAGGTAGGTGCCCCAAACTCAGAAGATTGTTGACTTACATTTTCAATTCCAGCGGGGTTTACTTGTACCATTGCACAAAGCCCACGGAATGCCGAATCCTTTTCCTCGCCTTCCTGGCTTTGACATAGTGCATGACACCAAGCTTCTGAAAATTCAGACAAGTGTGGGGCAACAATGCTCGGATGCATGAGCCCAATGCGCCTGATCGACGTGCGGAAGTGGGCCATCGCGCTTTGCGCGTGGCATGTACGAGTCCTCATTGGAATTCTTCAGCTGTACATACTAATAAAAGATATGTACATGTTGGCTGAGACTTATGGGTCAGCATCACTATCTTTAGGGTAAAGAGCGCCCTTTGGGCGCCAAAGGTGCAGACAGAGAAGAATGGGCACCTTTCAGGTGCCAAAGGAACATCATCAGTCACAGCTCAAGGAAATAGAGGAAAAGATCAGTCACATCAGCAGGTCATGTGATTTTATCAGTCACAGCCCAAAAAAGGCAGATTGCACCCCCAAAAAGGAAATTAGTCACAGTTTCCCACATTTTGTTCCCCCATAAAGACGAATCCTACATGTCATTTCGGACTTGTAATATAGCAGCATTCTCATCAATGCTTTGAGGTGAATTTAGATAGCGAAGGATCAAGATCAACCTCGATATCAGTGGGTTCACCCATTGTTGAAATTCAGCATTGTCTACGGAGCATTAAATTGTTTAAAGGAACCCAATACGATCAGAAGTGAAATAGGCTTACTTTGTCCATATTGTAACAAAACTTCTCCGATTGACCACAACGCATTATTTGATGCACCAACAAAGTTTATTTTTGGCTCCGGGGTCAACTGCAACACCAATTCCGACATGATGTCAGGCATAAAGGGCCTCAAGATGTCAAAGCAAGACATAGCCATATTGCCAACGAAAGTATACGCCGACTGTACAACTGGAGCATGGTGATGCTTGAAACAAGCAGTGACTAGAGTTAACAAATTTGGACTATGCTTGATCAGGACCTCGAGCGCCATGCCAATGTTCTTGATAAGACCAGATGATAGATCCAGGCTGCTCCTAGTTACAACACGGAGTAGTCTGAGCGACTTCATATCGACTTTGCAAAGCTAGCATACCGAGCATCAAACAGGAGAGATTACATTAAACAGATGACACGTTGGTTGGATCGAAGAGAGAAAGTTTTGTGGTTCACAGCAAGGACGAGAATTAATTGGTCTGATTCTTCGACATTGGGTTTTTCCTGAGATCTTTGATACCGGAGGAACAATTTGTGTAGAATTAAGTAACATCTCTCGACGACTAGAGATGCATATGGGAGAAATGCATCACCCAAAGTGGTTGTCACACAAATTAGACACTGAAAACAGCTGAGAAGATGAATGAGGGAATTGATATGGAGTATACCTGGAATAATGCCCTCAAGTTGATATCGGTGTCCCCCAATCTCATGCAATGATCAATGAGTGGAGGCAATAAGACTTCAACATAGCCAGTGTTAGATAGTTCGTGCCCAACGGCGTCAGCTAATACACCAATACTATCATATAGCATTGGCATATTCTTTTGGGAGTACTTATTCAAGGCAGCAACTAGATTGCGCAAAACCCGGTCAAGATATGGTGTAAGTTCCATTCCAGCATTTTCTGCCAGGGTTTTGAATGCAGAGCAGCCTGCTATCTGAACTTGTTTGTTATCATCAAGGACCACACAAAGGAGCTGTGGTACGGGTGTGACTAGCGGAAATCATTAAATATGAAGGAGAACTCACTTGCTCAAGGGTAGGTGAAAGATAACTACCATTAAGTTCATCTGATATCGGTTTTGTGATCCAACTTGACAAACGGCCTAATGTCCAGCAAGTGATTGACCGGACAAGGGGCTACATACTTATCATTAACACTGCAAGAGATAACAACAAAAAAGATGGACACCTTCGAATCATTGAGGCTATCGATGAGGTACGGAATAAGATTTGGTAAATGAAGCTCCATAACTTCATGACATCCTATAATGAGCAAATGAATATGGCACTCAACACCATTGAGAATAAACAACTTACCCTCAGCGGTAGCACCAACTGCAAGAATGGCACTCTCCTGTTGAAGCCAGTCATTACACCATAGCTTCTCTTTCAAAGGTTCCAACAAAACATTGAATAATTCTCCTTTGAACCTGACAGCGAGGACATCAAGCACAGATGCAGCGCACTTTCGAACGCTCCATTCAGCAGCCATTGTCTCTACAAACCCAGCGTCATCGGATCCAATCGGCCCCTCCCTATTTGGCTCGGTGTCAGGAATGTTGAGATCTTTGTCGTCGTCAAGCCACAGAAGTTCATCCTCGCTGTAGATCATGCAATCTAACAATGCAAGGGCAATCTTGCTAAGCAGAGACCGTAGAAATGGTGCTGTCATAAAGTACGTAGCCCCTATCATTTTCCTTTTCTCACTGTCTCGACGCCTTTTACTTGTATGATACATCATCCCATCACTGTCAAACCCCCATCAATTACTGATTCACCTGACCCATCTTCTCTTTCTACCGGCTTCCGCCACCTTCCTTGCCCCTGAACTGTACAGTATTAGATCGTTGTTTCTTGCAGACCGGATTATGTATATATAGCCAACCTCCACCGCCTGGTCCCTTATCTTGACCTCTCTGTCATTATCTGGGACCAGGTATGTGCTTACTTACTACTACCTATGACTACGATACTCAATATATCTCTGTCATTATCTGGGACCAGTTTGCCTCCGCTCCGCTTAAGCCACTCCGCCTCATCGCCTTGCTTAGTCGCTCCGCTTCCCTGCTCCGCTAGTCACTCCGCCTCTGCCGCTTTGTGACAAGTGCGTGCTCTACGTTTCCAGCAAAGATGAAAAAGAATTCACATGCTTCAAGCGCGACATTTTTATCTTTTGTGGCGTTAAGCATGTACTGGACCACATGTTAGGGAGTATTTTTTCTGGCCATGAAGCGAGCAGCAAGCCGAGAGCTCGCAGACATGCCAACAAACAGCGGGGTCATTGTCGGAAAAGCATTTGAGCAAGCAATTGATGAATGAATCAACATGAATGGAAAGAGAGTGACAATCAGCAGGAACAAGGTATGCAAGACAAGCGATTGAATGAGCACACATTTCAACTGATGGGTGGTCCGTGAAGGAGAGAAATCTGGGGATCATCAAGTCGAGAGGTCGATTTCCACTGATGTCTACATCAAGTTTTTGCAGATGATTCTCGCACATGTTTTTGAATGTGTTGAGGGCGGCCTGAGATACGTTCAATGAAAAACATTACATTACTAACAAATTGTGCTTACTCCTTGTTTATTGAGATCAGACATCTCCAATATTTTCACTAATTTAGGTAAACACTCCGGCCAGTCTAGGATTCCAAAGATGGTGCTAATAGCTTCACCAGCGACATTGCCAACCAGTGCAGACTCGTCTTCAAGAGCATGGAGCACAGTGGTCTTGATGTGCTGAAGCACCTCTGGAGATGACCTGAGGATCAGGTGTGCAAAGATTTTGAAAAAAAAAGGCAGCGAGTGCCCAAGTTCGTGCCCCTTCTTGTGGCATGTTAGACAAGATATGTGCAACATAAGCCAGAAAGTTTGGGATATGATTGAACATCACCTTGCACTCCGGAAGTTAAGTTGTTTTGTGCCGGCACATTTTGGCCTTGTTTGCCGCCACTCTTTGTAACAAGCTATACCAAACAATGTATACACTAACCACTATGAGCGCTCTTACTCACATCACTTCCTATGCCTCCATGATAACAAAACATATGCCAAGTAACATGTATATTTTCACCAGCATTATGCCCTGTTGATTACAACACCCTCCGACACATTCCTCCTCTGTCACGCTCCACTACTATTATGCTTAACATTACCCCTACGTTCAACAACCATCGTGTATATGTTGTCAAAAAATCACATTCCCTTTCCATGTGCTGGCCTTGCCGCAAATAAACCCGCACGCTCCAGTCCACGCGAATGTCTCTTCCTACTCCTGTCTCGTATTGCGCTGTCACATCGAGGTGTACCTGTTAACTTCGTAAGTTTATCATATTCGACGTTGTATCCACTTTACTTACTGTTTCCACTCCCCCATAGGTGCTCCGAAGCATCTTCAACACTTTGTCTGTGGTAATACTTGTGCACCCATTCCTCGCACCTGAAAAACGACTGCCTCCCCACAATTGGTAATCGCTAATGGCCGCTGCGCTCGCTTCTAAACCGTGAAATGTGTTCCAGGTTGCATCTTGTCCCGTGAGGCCTCGCAAACTTTCTTCGAACCCTGCTGTCGCTTCCCCCAAATAACCGCCATTCATGTTTATCACTCTTGGAATACCGTCTTCCACCATCATTCCTGCTGGTGGAACATTTCCTCCTGCAAACCCGACCCCACTATAATCCGTTGCCCGCACTATGAAATCACGGGTGTACCTTCCATCCGCTCCTGCCACCTTGTTGGGATTGTCAGTTGAGCCGGGTTCCACGGTCCCAGTCACGCTCTGCCCTCTATCGTTTGCTTGTCGGTGCTCCGTGCATCCTTCATCGGTGCGTCCCACATGCTTGACATACAGTGCTGCTTTTGTCTGACGTTCCGTTGCTTTTCTAGTGCTGCTTTTTCCGAATTCCTCCAACAGGTTTTCTCTTCCGTTCAGTAACAAATGGGGCGAAACTGTTCCTTGTCCATCCATCCTGTAACATTGTCAGTCATCCGTTGTTCTGTCAACGACTCTGATACAATTTACCTTTTTTTAGTCCTTATGAACTCTGCCCTCATTCGGTGCAGACACTTCTTACCTTTCCCTAACCTACTCGCCTTATAACTTTGTTTGCCAACATCCGCTGTTTTCCGACAGCAACGACCGCGTACCTGTCACCCCCAAATTACGCGACCGCTTTGTCTAATTTGTCTCATTTTCATCTTGATCTCTTATTACGGATCTCACTACTACCATTCACCATTTTGCTTCTGGTATTAACGGTTTCCCATTCCTCATCGTTCATCTCCCCACATTTCTGCATCCATGGATGCATATACTCCCTATGTGTATTAGGCAATAAAATCGGTTCCGTGGATGCTTTTCCATCCCCTTGTGCAATGCGTATTATTTCAGATTCATCTCCACCATCGGAACAATTTCGCAGATTCATCTACCGTCATGTTGCATTCAAAGTTGCCGAGAAAGAACCAAATGAGGGAGAATTGCGAGGCAGGGAGCGGAGCATATTTAATTCACTATGTCGCGGTACTATCATCATGTTTTCTCTGCGTCCAAAAAAAGAGGAATCACCCTCTCATTCCTTGTTACTAAAAAGGGAAGAATCTCCTACCCAGTCCTTACTTCATCTACACCATCACACTACATCTTCCACCTCTAATCATGCTCAGTCATCGCCCGCCGTGCTTCCAAAACAAGCCGCGGGTGCCTCCACCTCCATTCAACAATGGCCTCATCATGTCGGGCAAAATAAGAACCGGCCCAAGACCATGTCCTGACGGCGTAAACGTTCCCCTCCTCCCCCGTCATTTAGGAAACTCCAACCTAGGTCCAACAAAATTTGTTATAACGGAAATGGTACTGCTTCATACCGTTATGCCTGTCTTCCGCCACTGACTGTCTTTGTTATTAGCTTTAATTCGGACTTACATGTGACTTCTTTGTTTCGCAGGCCATTGGTATATCTCATCCGTGCATTGATTGCAGTAATTGTCAAGTCCATGCCGCGGGCCTCCATTCCGCCGCTCGGTATTCCGAAGATCTGCTTTTATTGTAATCTCTTCCTATTGTTCTTTCTTGCTACACATATCCTTTCGTCCTAGTCTCTCATTATTGTCTTTTACTCTTTCGTTCTAGTCTCTCCTTATTGTCTTTTACTCTACCCTGCAGGTACTACTCGTATAGCTCCTAGTAGTTAGTCTGGCGCTCCGCACCGATGCGCCGCTCCGTAGATATAAATACTGCCTGTACGCTACTGTAGTTCCTTAGTTTAATTATCAACTTAGATCAACTTAGATCTCCCTTCTCAACTTAGCTCCTCTCTAAGTCTTCAGGCTCAACGCCTTGAAGTACTCTCTCTACAGCCTTTGGACTTATAAGTTCTTTGGCCCGCTCCTCGTCACCGGCGATACCGCCGCTCCGACTTGGCTGCTTCTCAGTTCCTCCCTTCTCTACTCTCGATCTCCGGGGACTAACGGCGTAACGGCGGTGTTGTTAATAACTTCACTACTGTCCCACTCGTCTTCCGCACTTAGACACCCTGTGGCTCTGGCACGGTTACACAGTGTACATGATCTTAACAGTAATTTACCAATTCTCTTTATAGGGGTTATATTGTTCAATAAAAGTACAATAGTTTAAACTTTTGTTATTTTCTCTCGTTCCACTGCATGCGCAAAAATACTCCTTTGTCATCCAATATGTCCATCCAGCGATTGAATCGACAGATATCCAACTTCAACTCCTTCACGTTTGGTATATTAACAACGATTTTAACTGCATCTTTGCGTCTTCTCCCTCTTGTAGTCATTGCCGTAGACTTCATAAATCCTGAATTTAACGTTCATATATATTACTTGCTTCTTCACTCACCACCGTCACTCCAGGATGTGCAACCCGGACTTCCCGTAAAAATTGATGGACATTATACACTCCCGCTGCTGAGAATGCTAGCGTCTGCACGACTTTTCATGTAACGTTGAGTGCTACATCGTCCCACACATAACTTGTCCTCCGTGATGGGTTCAGACGCTGAAAAGTCAGCATGCCAACGTCCCTCCTACTTCGTTTCAGTTATTTTCTTACAACAAAAATCACTCACTTACTGCAATATCCCATCGTCCATGAGATCTTGTATTGCAGATAAGCTTGACTTCATAAATGCCCAATCGCTAGGTGCTGCGATATACGTGTGTACGAGCCCAGGTCCTGTAATCACCGTCCACAAGATCTTATTCGTATCTTGTTGATACACCATTTCGAAGCTGTTTGCTTCTGCAAAATCTGGCTGAGGTTTCATTCGCCCATGGTATTCAATAGGGACACGCCACGTCCTTGAATCATTCACAAATCTGGGGCTCACCGCGACAACATCCAGTGTTGGATCCAGCATATGTGCCACTGATGGTGATTTCATCATCTTTAACCCTCGACGAACATATTTTTCAACACCTGCTGCTGATCCCGCTGATGAGTACCCGTTATCGAGGATAAGTGTTGCTTTATCTTTGAATGTTGTCTGTGGAAACAGCGAATACGCTGCCCGATGTGAAATAAAGTTCATAACGCACACTGAGTTTATCGTCAGTATTCATGACACCATGCACGTGCATTCCATACGCACTTGAGTGAAAACACAGTATTACTTCCACAGCGCTGTGCCACGCTGCAATGAGTTGAATCATCTTCAGCTGACTGTTCTGGAAGTCCCAAACTTCAACGATACTATCATCTCCATATTCTGTTTCTTCCCTATTGACATGGTCTTCTATTTCTATAACTCGTTCAAAGTCCGCTGCAAAACACGCCAGTTGATGCGGTTTTCATTTGAACATATACTGGGCTGACATATACCACTGGCCTATGACAAGGCACTCCCTAAGCACACAGTACGTGTCCAGATCGGTGTCGTAGCTTTCCCGAGAGAAAAACTGGTAGCTTCGCGACGGAAAAGAGAAGTCCTGTCGTTGACTGCCTGAGGGTTAGTTATGGAACTATAACTGTTGCCGGCGCCCCTACCTGAATGTCATGGAACTGACATATTTCCTCAGGAGAAAAGAATCGCACAAGGACGGACTCTACTTTTAACAACCTGCGTAAGAATGCCTTCTTTTCATCCTGACTCCGTCTACATGTCAGGCCAAAGCTGTCCAACTCGTTGTGGTCCAAATCGGCGAAGAATGAGTTTGGAATTTCCTGTGAACTGCAAAATATCTGGATCGCTAACTCCATGGTTCCAGATTCCACGACTGACTCACAAAACTTGGTGCAAATAATTCGGTTCATCGAGGTCCACCTTCATGATCAAAATCGACATTGTAACGTCGAACCACTCCTACTTGCCAATCCTTTTATGGCACAATACCCGCCTCAACTTATATGCAGTGTGAATTCGATCCCTCTTCAATCTGAATCCTATGCGGTACCCTCATGACCAAACTCGCTTAGCTACAATTCCTTCACCTCATATCCAACCATGTTTGCAGTACGTGAATCAAATGTTCACAATTCCGTTGTGTACTCACCAATGATAGTGTTTCATTGCTTACTTCATCAGAACCTTTTTGTCTCCAAATATCCAATACCTTCGCTTAATGATCCTTGGGACGGACCCGAACGGAACTACTGTTTACTCTGCAATGCAGATTCCACATATTTGCAGGGGCACTGGTACTGTGCAGTTTAACCGACTTCGGGATAAAATCGCGAACCGCATGGTTCTTCCGGTGGCTCCTATTCTGAATCGCGATATCCGAGATATGAATACTGTAGGTTGAAGTGTGTGCTTCTGCATTTCCAATCCCAACCTTTCGTGTTCCCTACCTATGGCTACACCGTCATTTCAGGCCATGCCTCTAGAAATTCTTCTCTCTATCGCGCTGGGCACTATTGATTGTCATAAAGCACTTGTGTCACTCCCTCTGGTGTCCAAACGGACTTACATCACATCGATTGGAAACCTGTACAACAGTGTCAATGAAAAAGCTCTAGCCACTCTTGCGCAACCATCGTCTGCATCTCAGGAAATCATTGGTGGTTGGCATCCCGCATACTACGTTGAGCATATCAACATCTCCGATAACATCTCCAATGACACTTTCTTAACGTACTTCCTTGACGTGTTCAATAACATCTCGCGTTATGCTAATAGAAAAAGGACATTCACATTTCACCCTTTTTATCTCTTTGACCTTAACCCTGTCTCCACCGCTGCGAAATTGGAATACAACAAATTTGAGTCTGTGTCACTCCAGTGCTCCAGGCCTCCTGTGTTTGGTGATGATCTGTTCTCAGCACTGATGGTGAACCTTTCCATTGTGCAATTTTCCTATACTTACCACCTAGTATTCTAGACCGCATTAACCAGCGAAAGACTGAAGCACTTAATGCTGGATTTTCATATGGTGTCCGTTGCTGGTCGGTCTCTTCTGTATATTATCTGTTGGCAGTCACATTTTGACCATCAACTCAGTGAATTTCTCAGCTGCAGTGAAAGCATTGACACGCATTCAGTTGTGCAGTTCATCCCTCAAAACCCTTCACCTTACCTTTGACGCACTTCATCAGGGTTCATCATCGTCGATAAAGGCTCTTTTCAATCCGCCATCATTTATATTCCCACTGTTGGAAGATCTTCATGTGTCGGACTATCATGGTGATCTCGATATATCTTCGTTCCTTGTCCGACACCCCATCATCAAGAAACTAAGTTACGTTCCAGGTTGGAGGGTAGATTTGTCTTCATTCCTGAGTGACCCCCACGTTCTACCCCAATTGGAGTGTTTATCTGGTTGCGGTTTTGTTATTATGGCTGTCGCTTCACATCCTAGCTGGCCCCTTGTGTCAATCGGTATCACTGATTGGAACCCTAATCCCAGAAATATTTCTGCATTGAACGAAGGACTTTTACAAATGCCAACCTGCCGCGAGTTCTCTTTGCTTCTCGATGACTGGATCATGATACCAGAACTCAGACAGTTCCAATTCGTCTTTAAAGAACTTTGTCTTTTCGAATGCAATCTTCTCTCAAACGCCGTCATTCCCGTTGTGAGTTTCATCTTCTTTTCACTCCTCTTATCCATCTCATATTTCTACAGAAAACAGTGATTGAATCATTCTATGATGTTTGCATGAACATTAGTCCATGCCTCTCCCTTCTTATTGTTCATACCTTTTGCCCGAAAACAGTTCTATTGGAACATTTACATCGCATGGAGGGGTCACTCAATCACAACAGTCCTTCACATAAAAATTTTGTGCAGCAGAGCACAACAGGTACTTCTAGAATTGGACATTCCTGTCTCGTCTACTCGCACTGCCAGTCCAAACACAATCCTGTAGACTATAACTTTGTAATACAAGTAATACACGATCATGAATCCGAAATTCAATTTATTTACATGTGTGCATGTGATTATGAATGATTTGCTATCTCCCACAACTTCCCCTCACGCCTCGCAATCGTTGTTGCTGCTCCACATTCGTCTAACCTCTGGTCCTCTGCTTTGAGAGCTGGCGATGGGTGCATGACAAATAAGCTTTCATCAAAGCCTCGCAGAATTCGTATGGTTTCCCTCCCGCGACTACGTGATAAGGAAACATAGGCACCAAATGCATTCAACTTGCTTCTGTAGTTTGGGCTAGCCAGGTCCATGATAACATATTCTATCGTCTGGCCTTGGCTTTTGAGATCTGTGAAAGCATAGCCTGGCGTCAGTGCTACTTGTTGCCGTAAAATTGTCCGACTCCCTGTCCCATTAACTGGCACTGAAAACTTCGTTTCCTGCGGCACAATTGGTAACAAGCCCTCTGGGAATTCTGCCAGGCAAACAGCTGTCTCTCCATCCAGTTTGAAGAAGATGCAGGCTGGTGGATGATGCAACATAGTGGCGCCATCCATCACTTCATGTTCAATCGGTTCACGCTCATCCAGAATGATGTCGGTCACCGTACCTCGCATTCCATTCGCGAGATTGGCTTCGGTTGCAATATTTGCTAACACCATCGCCCTCATGCCTACAGCAATCTCCACCCGGTGACTGAGGTTGCCAGTTTGTCTGGTGTCAAGCTTCGCAATGCAAAGAAGTTGGGCTGGCATAAGCGGTACACCTGCTATGGTATCTTTGTCAAGTCCATGCCTCGGGCCTCCCTTCCGCCGCTCGGTACTCCGAAGATCCACTTCTTATTGTAATCTTACTCTTATTGTTCTTTCTCGCTACACATACCCTTTTGTTCTAGTCTCTTCTTATTGTCTTTTACTCTACCCTGCAGATACTACTCGTATAGCTCCTAGTAGTTAGTCTGGCGCTCCGCACCGCTGCGCCATTCCGTAGATATAAATACTGCCTGTACGCTACTGTAGTTCCTCAGTTTAATTATCAACTTACATCCCCTTTCCAACTTACCTCTTCTCTAAGTCTTCATGCTCAACGCCTTGAAGTCCAGATGTCAAGTCCATGTCCCGGGGCCCCATTCCGCTGCTTGGTGTTCCGAAGATCTACCTGTTATTGTAATCTTATTCTTATTGTTCTTTCTCGCTACACATACCCTTTCATTCTGGTCTCTCCTTATTGTCTTTTACTCTACCCTGCAGGTACTACACGTATAGCTCCTAGTAGTTAGTCCAGCGCTCCGCACCAATGCGCCAATCCGTAGATATAAATACTGCCTGTACGCCACTGTAGTTCCTCAGTTTAATTATCAACTTACATCCCCTTTCCAACTTACCTCTTTTCTAAGTCTTCATGCTCATTGCCTTGAAGTACTCTCTACTATAACCTTAGGACTTAGACGTTCTCTGGTTCGCTCCTCGTCACTGGCGATACCGCCGCTCCGACTTGGCTGCTCCTCAGTTCCTCCCTTCTCTACTCTCAATCTCTGGGGACTAACGGCGTAATGGCGGTGTTGTTAATAACTTCACTACTGTCCCACTCGTCTTCCGCACTTAGACACCTTGTGGCTTTGGCACGGTTACACGGTGTACATGATCTTAACAATCTTCTGCAGGACAAGAGTGAAGGCGCTTATTGTTCATTTTACAGTGCTGGCGAACCGCGGCCTTGTTCCACTTTCGACGAACCACATTTCGAGGGGTGATGAGAACCGCAGTATTCCAGCCTGGCTGTGTGAAGTCTATTCGTGGATTGGTTTCGATGTCCAACCGCAGGCCCTGCAGAATTTCCAGGTCTTCTGCATTGCATGAACCACTTCGAAGGCGGGTTAACAACTCCATCCAACGTGGGTCCTTGATACGAATCTGCTGCTTCAAAATGACGGCCTGTGATTGAGTACAAGTTCGATCCCGATTCAGAGGGCTGATAGAGGGCTCCGTTATTATTGCCTACAGGCGGGTACTGGTGGAAGTCGCCACACAGGATCACATTCATGCCTCCGAAATACTGGTCACAATGTGGTTTGTTTTCAGCTGTCGCTACGTGGGTGCAGATTGTGCTTGTCCGCCCAAGAATCTCTTTGGTTGCCATCGAACATTCGTCTAGTATCAGGTACCTGGCTGGTCCGATATTTGCAGTGCGTCGTCTCTGGATTGCAATGGAGGCATTTGTGATCAAATCTTCTCCAGCCTTCGCACCAACCTTGATTCCCGCCCACGTGTGGAGTGTCTTTCCACCAAAGTGACTTGCTGCTACACCTGTAGTCGCCGTCTTCGCCAACAGCAAATCGACCCCAAGTTTGCAGAATGTATCGCTGATCGCATTGATGATGACTGTCTTGCCCGTGCCACCAGGTCCCAGTAACAGCAACAACAGCTGGCTAGGACTATGGCCTGCAATAGTCCTCTGCATATGGTCTACAACAATATTGTGTGCCTGTGCCTGTTCTCCGTTGAGAATGTCATGAAGCCCCCTCCCTATATCACCAAGTGTTGTCTCATCAGCCATTGTCTCCTCTCGCACAACGCTCGCATTGGGAGGTGCCTTTACTTTCACATTTCCAACATCATTCGTCACCACGTCGTCAACAGATAACTGACCTCCCAAAGCCATATACCCGACAAGTGCTTTGTGCCATTTCTGGAAATCGACCTTCTCTTCCAAACTACACTGTCCCGCAATCGGGTCTGCGACGGCCACCTCAAATTTGCGGTCAAAAATCCCGGCTGCATACGCGCTTTCCATTGCGATATAAGCGTACAATTCCTGCGCCATTCCTTCCTTCTCCTGAGCGTTGTACATATCTTCCTCCAAAATGAATGCCTCCTCAGCCCTTTCCACTTTCTTTGATTGCTGTGCAACATCTTCATTTGGTTCGTCCTCGGGGGCAACATATCCCTGGTACTCCTTCTCACAACGTGCAGCGGATTGGTCTGAACAACGATAGAAGTACTGCACATTAGCGATGAAGTTATATATACTGTCGGAATAACTTTCGGTGAAGTCAGTCCAGGCACTCATCGATTGTGTGGAATCCTTGCATGATATCTGACAATGCCCTCCATGGCTTGAGAATAGCCAGCATCAAAAGGATGTAGAGTGCTCGATCTTCTGGCCGGTCATTGCGAGGAAACCATTGACCAACGTAAAGCGGCACTGTCTCGTGGCCCTGCTGCCGAATAACGCGAACGTGGTTTGGTTTTTTATTTGGGGAATAATGGTGGCGGACACCTGGTATTCTTCCAGTCCGATTACACTTTGGATGCTCCACCGCTGCTTCTGTGTCCTTCTCGTATTTGTCGTACGTGTCTGTAAAGAAATCCCTCAAGTTATAATGTCGAAGAGTGTCTCCGCGGTGACAGTAGTCGTCTATTTGGCTGCGTGTTTCGAGTTCCCCAGACACCATGGTTAGTCTTATTTCCTCTGCCTTTGCCACTTTCAGTAAAACTAAAGACGATATTTATTACCCCGAATAGTACCTCTGCTGCTGTGTTATTGGGGACCTGTAGCACCTCACATCCACCTCTCTCTTTAGCAATATGCGCCCACCTAAGTGACAGTGGTTATTAACAACAGCCACAGTTATTTGATTTAACCCGGCTCACCATTTCTCTTGCAGGATCAGATAGTATTTGCGTAGTGATGCTGTTATGCCTTCAAGGTATATTGGCGCAAAGGTGTGTGAGATATAACGGTCGCCCCATCCCATTAGGTAGCTAATGACTTCAGGAGCACTCAACTCCTGTTGATGATTGAGAGCCGTTGCACACCTCATCACCAGCTTCCTTGAAGCTTCAACAACGTCCGCACTCCGACGTTCCTGCTCATGGTGATAGGCTAATCGCTGCGCCAGTATTGCGCTTTGATTCGTTGACCTATCTCGTTTTTTTGTGGAGTATGTTGTGATGTAGTAAGTCATATCCTGTGTTTCATTGCCATTGGTGACTAGTTTTTGATCATTATTGCACAGTAGTGTCTCGAGAATAGTGGGATTGAATCCATTCAGAAACCCCACTGTTCGTTTCATTCCCCATGTGCCATCCTCATCTATGAAATCAAACTGGGAGACTGGCCACGGTGCCCGCCGTTTGCATTGCATCACGCCTTTTATGAGCTTATGGCATCGCTCCGGACTACAGTCGTGGAATTGCAGTGTATGGGCGGGTACTATCTCCTGTTCCTGTTGCTTTTGCTCATAACCGGGATCTTCAGGTGAAATCGGACGGTTGTACGCGATCGACGGCTGGGGTTTTATGGCCATTAACTCTGACAGTGTTTTCCCCACATCTGCCCTCATTGTGGCGGATATGAACATTGCAACTTTGGTCCGAAATTCTGGCGACTTCAGAGCCTCCCTCATCTCTGACGGATTTGGGGCTCCCTTCAACCACATTATGATGTGCAGATGGAGCATACCTCGCCCTTGCGACTCCACCATGCCAACGATGCCAAGCTGGCGTTGGGGGTGACCGACGCTCGTCTTTCGAAACCCATATAGCACCTCCAGAGTCGCTTGGATTGTGAAGTGGAAGAACTGTGCTGCGGCATATGGATCTTTTGCTAAGTTCACTGTCCTCAGTGTAGATGTGGGTCCTCGGGTCGAAACAAAGTTGTCCAGGTCAATCTGTTCACCGGCGAAAACTTGTGCAATTGGATTATGCATGTCAGAGGGGTTGATTGTTATCCACAATGAAGGAGGGTTGAACGCGACATTCAGAGACCATATCTGCGCCCACACACTGGCCCGATTCTCATCTGTTGCTAGTACTTTTGACTGGACCGCTTTCAGCTGAGTATGAAGGGCTTGGATTGCAGGGTTTGAGATTTGTTTTTTCTTCTTCTCCTCCTCGCTTGCCTGCAACAAGTCCTTCGGTGTCAAGTTTCTGATCTCCTGTTCGTGCTTGCGGAACTGAAACCGACTGATTCGAAGGCTAGCTTTCGAACAGATCTCCCGTCGTTGAATTACGCCGAAAACTTGGAAGATGAACTGATGATCTAGACGAAATCGACGGTCCACATACTGCAATGCCCACTTTGCATGAGCAGCATACGACACCTCATGCGGGCGCTCCATTTCAAATCCACCTTTGCCATATGGAAAAAGATGAGGGAAGCATCCGAGGAGGTGGTTTGGGTTTTCAATTGTTCCCCAGGTTGCACCTCCATGTTCGTTCTTCCTTCCATAGGTATTAACGAAACCTCCGGGCTTTACGAAATAGTTCTCTGATTGGTGGATCGTGTTTCGCATGGCATGTGCAAAAAGGTCACTCTCCAAAATTGTACTGCCATCCACGTCCATAATGCCCAGTGCCTGCAAAGGTGCTGTATGAGTCTTCATCACACTATCATCACCGCTGGCGTTGAATACGATATTACCTGCTTCCACTTTGCCGTAATCATCGCGATTCCCAATCCCCTCCTCCATGTCGCTGGTGCAATCAGAAGTATCTTCCACTAAAACATCTATGCAATTCAATTTATGTGAATGGTTTGTTTTGATCACGAACTCACAGTCCACTAGCCGAAAGATTTCATTGGTCATACAATCTTCAGCAACCTCATTGTTTTCATCATGGTCTGGAACATAGCCCGCGTTTTCTCTATCCAATACCCTTGTATTGTCTACCCATTTCATGTTATCACTAATTTTGGAAGGAATGCCATCTTCGGGCAGACCACTCAAGTTTGTCTCCGAAATCTTTAGGCCGGCATACAGTGGGTTATTAGCAATCAGCCAACGTAGGGCATCGCGAACTCGATCACGGTGAACCCGAAGGTATGGAGGAAGATGCTTGAGTGGGATGTTATTGGCATCAATGAATGTTACTCCTATGGTCGCGGCAAGAATGCCTGGTCGGGGTGGCAAATATCCGGTATCAATCATTCTGATTATATCTTCAGTGTTCAAGAAGTATGATGATACGTTCCCTCTAACAGCACTAGTGAGCATTTCCTTTGGTAAACCTCGTGCTCCACGACTTTTTGGAAAAAGTTTGACAATATATGCCGCAGCGTAGAACCTCGACACCAATATGCACTCGCAAAGGGAAAGTATTCGCAATTCAAAGGGGATTTCACCAAGCCAGAGATTGTTTGCCAGTGCGAGTGCGGGTCTCTTTGGCATCTTCGCAGACAGATTCTGAAGGCAGGATGTACATGCATATCCTGGTACTTTTCTACTATGTGAATCATAGTACAGCAGCATTCCTGCTGAGAGGATATGGGCCAGGTGTCTCTTCGCAGGTTTCAGAAGTTCACCATTGGGTATTGACACAGGGAAAATTGCTTCCACCTCGGAACTGAACACTTCTTGTGCGCAGATGCAACAAATCACCTGCCGGACTGCCGCGTTTCCAGTTGCGCTGATAAAGTCATTCACAAGGCCGCGGCGGCTCTCCTCGTCTGGTATGACCAAAAATGGCCGATTGAGTACAGGAAGTTGAGGATGCTCCAGTCAAAGGAGCACTTTGAAACAATATGTAGTGGCTGTTCCGTAACAACAGTGACCAGCGACTCCTTCGATAGAACCTCAGTATCCGCAAGGACTATTCCGACATCGCGCATTGTAGACAACAATTCCGCAGAGGAACACATATCAAGTTTACGTCGAAGGTTGCTTTCTATGCCATTCTCAACCTACAGCCCTTCCAAGTTCAGCGGGTCATTTTAGGACAACGGCGAGAAGCAACATACGGGCTGTAATCGGGCAAAAAACTTGTTGTATATGGCAGGGGTGAGTGTCCTCAGTTGCTTTACCAGCTTCGCCTTGTTCAGGAAATGATAAACCGGTATGTTAACCCCTTCCTGTGCTGCCATTTTGAGGAGTTGTTCTTTGCTGAACCGCTGTAGTAGCTCTAGGTTAATGTCAATACCTGATTCTGGAATATCTGAATCTGGAACTGCCCGGTGTGGTGTCAGGTCATTGACTATCGCACTATATATGTCCGGTGGCAATTGAAGAAGTGCTTTGCAGATGTCTGCCTTAGTACGAACATCGGTGGGTCACAACTTCACGTTGTTCGTCGTCAGTACTGAAATTAGATCCTTCTTTGTGTGTGCTTTTACAAGGGATTCAATGTGCAATTCATGGTCGTGTTGCATGGACATTGCAAGGTAGGATCTGTCAGGATACAATCCCGAAAGCGCGTGTAGCTCACAATTACAAAGCCAAATTTGGTTCATACACCAAAGTGACACGCCTCTCTTGCCAGCCTTGGCCACATCTTGTTACATGAGATTTGTCTCGGTAAGCTCCTGTAGCCGTCGATCTCTAACTTTGAAAGGGGTTGACATTGTTCCTGGTTCAGCAGTAACCAAATGATACGCTAATGTAGGCGAACACTAATGTACGAGAACAGAACAAGCGCTACCTGAGAATTACACGAAAGAGGGAGACTCGGTAGAGATCGCATATTAAAAGTCTACAATTGTATCAATTATAAAGAGGACTTCAATCTCAGGTCTGTGTTGACTTTCGGTCTTTCTTTGGCGTTGCTTCGTAAAAGACTCACCCTTCACCGTACCAATGTTTGTACATTCATGGCATCTATATACATTGTCGGTGCTAACTGACCTTGATGTAGATGACACCAATTGATTATTCGCGTCTCAAGGTGACACTTCAAGGTCACTATTACTACCTGCGCCGTGAAGGCCCATTGCCCGAGGGCTGTGGATGGTTCACTCTCAATGAGAAGAAGACGTACTGTGCTCCGTTGATGGCGGGACAAGACACGCCGACCACGGTACCCTTTCAGATTGTGGGCTGGGTTGGAACGAACCTGAACAATACTGGGATCTTCGGAGGGTGGTCACCGACCGGACAATATGCACCCGGTAGTTCGCGGCGCACGTTTCAACTGGGACCACCGTTGTCGGGTGTCTTTCGCGACAATTGGACCGCAGCTATCACCAAGTTGAAAGAAGTTCAGACAGCAGGAGCGAACAACACTCGAAAAGTTCGATATCTCTTTGTCCATGAAAATGTACCTCCGTTGGATAGCCTGATCAGGCTCGGTTGTAAAGTATTCTGTGTATGTCTTGCACCTTTATCTCTCGTACATGGAAGCTTTTCACTAATTACTTCACAGGATCTTGATGAAGGAGAAGGTCCTGATGGTAAGCGTTATTTTAAACCAACAACTGATCACTTCATTGAACATTGTTTGTGTGTAACAGAGCTGCTATCTTTGTCGATTCCGGCTGACAAGAAGGGGAATGCGGAGTGGGTGGAAATAAAACAGACCAACATTGCTGGTGCTACTGTCCGCATGACGTTTGGGCTTCGTTGCTGGCGTTTCAATCCAAATGAGCCGTTTTCATTTGCAGCTGACATCGTCCGCATTGATTTGCTAAGCACACCTCATGAAGATTGTGGCCCTCGTATTGGATTTCCTGTTACACCCCCAATAATACCTCAAAGAGGCTTAACCTCTTCGAATCCGGGTGAGGCTCCAGACACCATTGACAATTTGAGCTAACTCTGTTTCTTGAACAGGTCATACCCCTTCATACCGAAGCCAGCCTCTGTTTGCCTTACAAGATAGTGGAGGGAGCCAAACTGACCGCGCCTTGCTTACCAGTGGAGGTCCCAATGGTTCCCCCCACACCCCAACTCGTAATCCACCTCGCTACGCTATGAACTATGTCTCTCTGATGCCTGAGGGTCATGCCATTAACTCACCCTATTATGGTGTCATGCAGTCCTTTCATGGCGGGTCACAAAGTCCTGACGGTGGGCTTGGCGCCGCCTTTCAAATTACCAGTGGTGGTTTCACACCTGGCAGTATGGAACCTCAACGTGAGTACTGAATGTTCGTAGATTCTGAGTGGTCTCAGTGGAATAAAAGTTCGTACAGGCTTCAATATGCCGTTTGATAGCACCAACGCGCACCCTAATCTGAGTGGTAATGGTACATTCTTGCCACGATTGCAATGCGTGCTCCATGATGACTGCTATGTTTGTTCAAGGTGGAGCTGGAGAATACCGCTATGGATGGAATGGCGGAGAGGGAATGAACATTCCCAGCGAAAACAACAAGTCCGGTGCCAATTATCATGGTAAGAACTTGTAGGACTATGTAAAGCTCAGTTGAACAGGAAAGATCAACTAGATTGGTACCTGTAGGACTATGTAAAGCTAGAGTCTGTATGAGTACAGGTATGAATAGAAGAAATATAAATAAGTGAACATACCTCAGTTGAACAGGAAAGATCAACTGAGGATAAAGCTAATGGAACGAAAATATATATATCGATCACTAGTTCGGGTTTGATAAGGAACGGAAGTATAGATAGGAAACGGAATACCATAACAAGTAGTATCAAAGCTAGATGTACGGAGTATTCTCCAACAGAACTTAATTGGGTACCACTCAAGAATGCTGAATGATTTCGGACAGATCAACCAGCCTACAATAATTGCAACAGATTTGCGCAGGTCTCATTGGGAATACCGAACAACGGTGATACAATGATGTCTTGTTAGTGTCTCCAGCGTTACCCCGTATGTTATGCCCTCCATTGATGTCTTTGACAGATGGTCCAATGCCTGTCTTGAATTTGAATGGCCATGCTACAGGAGAAAATACTCAATGTAATGAACCCTCGATGGTCAACACTACAGGCCTGTTTATTCACATTCAGCTTGCATTCGTTACTCAAACATGATACAGGAACCCTTTCAAGTGCGATACTTACAGCAGATGGTCAAAGCACCAAAGTCAACAATGGAGGTGCGTTTAACCTCTGTCTTTCTTCTATCATGGCTCATGTTTTCAAGGTACGGAGACTGCGCCTGGTGCGATTGCGGGCTCCGGGACTCCAAGCAGCAGTGCAGGCAGTGATAAAATGGTATCTAAGGGTTTGAAATGAATGAGGGATGATGATGAAGGAGGCGGGTATAGAACAGACAGTACCACCAAAAAAGGAAAGTGCCGTGCTGAATGAGTTTCAATAGAATACTTCGTACTACTGTTGTACTTTTTACATTGCCGCATATCGTTTGGTGTAAATACACAATGTTTGTACACTGAATATGCGAACACTATGGGATTCACTCAAAGAAACACACGCTTTCTGGTAAGATGGGTGTTGAATCCTTCACAGATGTCAGGGTGAGGTAATGTACAGTCCTGCATCAAAGAATGGATGCACCACTTCGGGTACCTGTGAGGTTTGCTATGAAGCGATACACCGATGTATATCACGAAGCCTTAACTGATGCTCAAGGAAGCGATACACCAATGTTTATCACGAAGATGCTTACGAATTAAGCGGCTGCTGTCTGTAGGTAGGAACAGAGTATAAGTAGGCAGTGGGCAACCACAAAACAGCAATGGTATCAACCAGGGCTCATAAAAAACACGCGGTGACAAAAAGAGCAGCATATTTCAACCTCATTGCTACGGTACTTGGGCCCATGCTTTCACCACATAACTGAATATTGACGGTCTTTCAGGATTTTCCTCTTCACCGCCAAGGTTTGTTGTACAGCTGCGATGGCTATATTGACGTTGTGCCAGTACCCTTAGTACCTCAGTACAACAACCCAGTGAACACAGCTCCTCAATACGTATACACAGATTTCTGGATACCCCCGACATTTAATGGGATTAGCACTGATAAAGGAACATTCGCTTCGTTGGGACGCCGTTCTGTCGAAGTCCGCGATGGCCAAGGACGTGAAACAGTCTTCAGTGTCTATACAGAATTACAGGACAAACCAAGTGTCCGTGAGCGGCGACTCAACCAGGCCGTCCAACGCTGCATCGAAAACGGAAGGGCGCCAAGGGGAAATGTTCTTGTCATTAAGCACTGGGCAGGATGCATGGACTTCACAGATATTGAATGCTGGGACAGAGGCATCGTCAACGACATATTCCAATCGTAAGTGACTTGGGGTTAACATCATTTAATGCAGTCACTCACAATTAAAAGAATGTTCGGTGCCAGTGCATGATGGGGGGTCACGATATCTTTTCCATAGAAGACTTCCAACAGCTATAGGACATCATATTCTTCAGGAGTCAGGTCTACGCGAATGGACAATGGTGAAAAGGGTGTCCCGTTTCCATAGTGCTGAAGTGTCACGGTTCATGGACGCACAACTTCTGCAATCCTTCATTGCAGGCCCATTCGTGCTGCGTTTCCTGAATGTATCCGTGGGGACATCCATCACACGTACACCATTGTTGATTTTTGCACCTTTGGACTCGCGTCCACTATGGAGGGATATTATGTCAAGGATGAGCTTGCATGGTGTGGAGGACAACGTACCAATTGTTTTTGAAGATTATTGCATGCATTACATGAAGTTTCATGGCAAACAGGTACACCGTACTTCAGTGACTTCACATTGTATTGATCTGCCTGCAACAGGGTTTGCACGTTCGAATTTTGTTCAGCAAAACGGTGTCGGGTTTCCCAATGATTTTGGGCTTTGGAGACACGTTGGGATGCTGCTTTGTGAACAGAACAGGGCTGTACGTGGGTTACCCGGACGATGTCACAGAAAAAAAGGTGGTGATTGGACACATGGGCCCATATGCAATGCCTCCCCTCCATGGGCAAAGAGAGTTTCGTACATTGAGTGTGGTGAATGACGTTTGTAAAAGTGCTGATTGTGGCTGGCATTGCAATGGCTTGTGGCGCACATTCATGGATGCCGGTTCAGCCAGACATTTATGGTGCAGCAAAATAGTCGAAGATGAAGGACTGCACAAGGAGGTTGATTTTTGGCGGTGGAATACCGGGAGTCCGTGTAAAAACCCGAAATGCCCTCGATATAACGTACGCACATCAGGAAACACTGAAATGCTCCATAGAGCTTACCCACATGTTTATAGCACAACATATATTCCGAATTATCCGTGTGCTTAGCTGTAATGTCCGTACAGGCACGTATACTACAGTATAGCTACAAGTATCTTGCATTGAGCATACAGCGAATACATAGTGCTTGTATACTATAGCTGTCTAGTCCATATAGTGAGTATATATCAGGCAATCACTCTGTATACAACATAGCATGCTTTTCTATATTTGAGGGGTTATATGAGAAGTCATAGACGAAATTCAGGACTAAATCAATTATTGATACTAGGTTCAATTCAGTTATTATCTTTGGGTCGTAACAGTACAAAGTCTATAGACCTAAGATATGGATTGAGGTAGAAATGTTGGCACTGATCTAGCACCTTTTCACTTGACCAACTGGGATCTGCATGTTTACCGTAAAAAGGTACAAGATGACAGCTGCGGGCAATATAGGTGATAGGAATGATTGACGAGTTACGAATTTTACCCCGCATCGAGCGCTCAACTCGATACATTTGTGTAACTTTATCGAGCTTGCGGAGAGGAGTGAACCACTCCACATATACGAGGGGATGTGGGAAGGAACCAAGCTGACTGGGAAGGTCAAAAATTGCATGTACTTGCGCCACGTGAAGCCCTGAAATAGCCTTAGCAGAATGTGAAATCAGAAGAGTTGGAAACGCACCATCTTTGCCCAGTACATCCAAATCTTCCTGGCTGTCTGGGAGTGACTTCCTCGCAAGAACCGTTTCAAACTGGGCAGGTGTATATTTACATTTCCCGCGACCCGAAAGAACAGCAGGCTGAGCGGCAGTTGCCTGGAAAAAGATCGTATTGACTGGCTGGCTACAAGAGAGGTTGATGAAGAGGAAAACAAGGAGGCTGTAACAATACCTGAGTTTGGAGAAGCTCTTCAGGTAGAAGGGATCTGGACCAATCTGCAGTACGGCAAATCCACGTGCATGGTTGCGAAACAAACTCCTGTCACTAACATCACTATCGAAAGCCTGGATTCTGACTTTGGTTGCTCGACATTTGTTTATGCTATGGAACGGTTTCTATGTGAACAAAATCTGCTCCGATCAGACTACTGGGATGCACAGCCGGTAAAATATAGCCTGTACAAACAATTTTGGGTTATCGTACTCCCTACACTTGAATTCTCGAATTCTTCCATTGTTCTTGGAGGAACAGTTTGTGCAACGAGGAGAATTCACGGGAACCTGGCATTTACTTGGGGTTTTCAGACAATTGGTACAGGGGGAGGCTACTGTCGCCAGGAGTGACCATAGGGGATCGTCCTTGCAGTAAGCAGACAATAATCTTCCAGTGTTGAACACAGTCTTGAACAGCTGAAGCTGAGGACGAGACGGAGACTCAATGGTGAATGCGAGCTGATCCTGCTCGACCTCCCCATTGGACTCAGGATCAGGGGGAGCTACCTCCCCCAAAGAAGTGGGAGTAGGCAAGAGGGGAGAAGACGCGCGAGAGGTAGAACGACAAGGACAATCGAAGGACATCACAGTAAAGAGTTTGACTCATGAACTGAGGTGGTAGAAGATGGGAGAAGCAGGAGTCTGATGGACTTCAACAAAGAAAATTTTAGGTACCATGTGAATATCAGGTGACCTTCCGGAAACACGTCTACCCATCGCAAGGGCGCAAAGGACTTGCAGGGGGGGTAATGTCATGCCCTGACCACCACCAGACCCATCCCAGCACCAACCAGAAGCTCCATAAACCCCAAAGACAGTACCGCCACTCCCCTGTAACCTTCCCATTACCCGAATGTCTGACGACTTTCCCGACACGCATACCTCCCCCAGCACACATACAGGACCCCCTACAATCAACTCCATTAAGTATCAATCTCAATTCAAAGAGTCCTGATGTAAAAAATATTGAAGAATACAATTAAAAGAATACTATGCATAACTCCCTTGATAGAGTATAGGCACAATGGGTGTCTATTGAAAGAGAGAAGCAATTAGTTTAATCCAGATGAATCGGATTGATAGGATTAGAATTGAGGAGAGCTGATTTGCCTCCGGACAAGGTGACAAACAATCGAAATGAGTGTTGAACAGCAATGGCAGCTGAACACCATCCGAGTCATTCTCCAAAACAATTAAATTAAATGAATATTGAAGTACCTACCTATGTTTGGAGGTATACTAGAATCTTGGAACCGTTATGGACCAAATAAGGACATGTAGATTCAAATTAAATGGTATCTGACCGATTGTAGAAGTTTCCTTGTGGTTCCAAACGTTTATTGTATTAAATTAATTGTACTGTGCGACTCTATATCCTGTATGTATAAATAGCAATCTGATGTATCTGGAATACAAGTGATTTTGGAACGACATTGCAGTGCTAATCCATAAAAAGGAAAGACACACTCCCGCCAGACTAAAACCTCTTTGCTAGCAGCCATTCGGGCCCGGCACTTGTGAGTATAGGAACACCGTGTTCTGCTCCTTGTGACTGTGAGAAGTATATCCAGTTGTTGGGTATTCTTCGAACTTAGGATCAGTTGTTGGTCTTAAGGGCAAATCACGCTGTGTGGTTGTGCCAGCATATAGTTCAAGCCCTCTGTAGGGGTCTGTGTGTTTCAGTTTTAATTTACTTTGATTCAAACCCCCAATTCTTGATATACCCATATCAATACAATCAAAGCACAAATTGTGCTGAATCTACCTTAATCAAAGGAATATACCAAATCCTTAGAACGATTCAAATTGATTCATCAAAGCTTCTTACTTAGCTCTCAAAGCTTTGCGGAACCTTTGCCAATGCTACCCCTTGCTATTAAATAAATTTGATAGCAGTGAACTCGCATATTGTGTATTAGATTGGTTGGTTGGAGTGCCCATTTGATTCCTTCCTTTCTCTTTCACACAAAAATGAAGCAAGCTCGTTAACGTGCTGCTGGTGATCAGTGTTCAGTTGGCGCGCCAGGTCTTCATGATACTTTCATTCATAGTCTTAAAGCTATTATCCTGAGCATCGTTCATTTAAATTTTTATCAAAAGATATCTAAATCGCATTTGTTCTGCAAACATGTATGGAGTGGGTCCTGCCAACGCTTACTATGGATAGCACTGCTAGAAGCCAAAAGTTGATCAATTGTATCTCTTCAACATAATCTTTGACTCAAAACTTCCTTTGCACTCCAATGTCTGGCTTGCAATCTTTTCCTGGAAAGGTCCAATTGACAATGTCCGATTTATCAAATATCTCTTCTGGCTCATTCAGCGATCTAAATCTAAGCAGTGATGATTCTCCATTTGAAATCAGTCATCTCTCATCTTCCTCTACTCCCCTGTCAAAAATAAGACTTCCAAAGGTCTTGGGAAAGCTAAAGAATTTGAAGTTGGATCACTCAGACATGGATGCTGACACCTTAGTGTCGGATTATGCAAGAGGGAGTAGAGGGTCTGCATCAACACTGAATCTCAGGCCGGTGTCCCATTAGCGGTGAGTTCTATTAGCAACTCCCTATCATACTCCTTTCCACTTGAGGGTATTCTTGCTTTGTTATGTTATATTGTCTGCTAATGTAGCAGCCTACCTGTTTGTCAAATAGGATTATACCAGACTTGGACTACATCCGAAGGATGACTATTCACGTATGACATACCCAGGGTATTCTTATTGGACCTTACACTGGCAGGAGTTTGGAAGAATGAAACAGTAATTCACTCTCACATACCTCCACATCCCCAATTCTGAGAACTGCTGCAAGCTGCACCAGGTTGAATTTTTTTTGCATGCTTTTCCCTCTCCAAGGGAAAATCTCAGCATTCTAGAAAATACTCTCATGAGGAAGTGCTTCTTCCAATATCGGACAATTAAATCCATCCAGGCTCAGAGGCTCTACCTCCATCTATGGAGTTGAATAACTCTCGAGTTGGTGGCATGTCAACTCTACGAGCTAGTCAAACCCAGGCTGGACATCTTCCACTGCCGTCTATCATTCTCACCCATCCCAGTGACGACAAGCTTAATTTTAAAGAATACAATGATCTATTTACTGAGCCACAGCATATAGTGAAGCTTACGACAGTTATTGGATCGATTTGCTCCTGCTTGCGCCATGTTTCCTCTTGTGAAACAATGTCAAATTCAAACTCCTCTCCTACTTCAATTGCTTTGCTTGGCTCCACGCCAAAGGTACCAGTTGAACCCAATTGTGCATCTGCTGTTGGTACTACTTCAGTATCATCTTTCAATGCATTGCCATCTAGGAAGGAGCTGCAGCAAGCACTTGAAATTGAGGCAGAAGACAAATGGGAGACTATGTCAGTAAAGTCAACGAGGTTTATGCAAGCTTTTAACATTACACATTGCTCTCTGATTTCTCCAGAGCCAACACAAGATATGATGAAATGGAAGAATTCCAGGATGATAGTGTCATGCAAGCCTCCATCTATTCCACTTCCTCCCACCCTGTCAACGAATGACATATTTTTGCTTTCAACACCGGATTTGCGACAGCACACACATACCATTACTCCTAATCACTCCTCCTTACCCCTGGAACACTCTTCTACCAATAGCTCTTCAAGAATTGAGGTACTTTGATGCAAAATATCTCTGCAATAAAAGTTGTTGCAAAGTGGACATCAGTTCTCAGACGGATGCTGCTGCATCTCATTGCCCCCTTTTCCCCCACTTGAAACACTTTGCCATTCAAAAACACTGCAATGTGATATTGATACTGCTTCAACTGAAGAGCTCCGCAAGGCTCTCCAGTATTGCAATCAGAAAGTCAAAGAACTCTCTGTTTATCTACTCCAGGTGGTAGAAATACATGCCATTGAGAAGGGAGCACGGGAGGGAAATGGGGATGAGCTAGAAAGAGAACATATGGAACTACCATGGCTAGTGGAAACTACCCCCATGCATGGTGAACCGAACAATAAAAGCATCTTCCCCATCTAGCTCTTCCTTGGAAAGGGAACAAAGTGATCACTCACTTATGCAATGCAGCGTACCTGCTCCTTCATTCTTGATACTGAACATTAACTAGCTTTCCTCAGAGTAGTGTTGCCGGAAGGGGGACTCAAGGTGCAAATTTTGGAACTCTTCTATCTACGGAGATCAAAGTCGAGGGTTTTCCATGGGATGTAAATATTTTGTGACAGTGTGATGTCTCACAAGTGTGACTATATGCATATATATGTCCGTAGTAAATAATGTGTATGTTCACACAAACCTCTTCAACCATCTTGCTTATAATGGGACACCCCAGCTCACGGCGCACAGAGGGTGTGCCATATTTTTGCTCCCAAGCAAAGTGTGAAGTCTACAACAGTGGGTGCCTAGTTATACCGTCCATTTGCGTATGATCGTCGATTGAGCAAAATCTTTGAATGATATCACGTGAGCGCGTAATGGCTGTGCGTCCTAATTAGACTTTGTGCTGCAAATTTGTTTCTCTTCACCACGATGGACGTTGCAGACACCACCAAAGATGCCACAGAAATTACCCTCGGACGTGACCGGGATAGAGAGAGGGATAGGGACGGTGAATATGACAGAGATTGTGACAGAGACTACACGGATCGTGATCGTCGAGATAGCGGTGTGTACAACAATATTATCTTTTCACGTTCGCTCCTCATCTCACTTGGGCGTAGGTCGACGTCGAGGAGATCATTGGGAGCCCGAAGAACGTCGAAATAGGGATGTGAGTAAAACCTAAGCTTGGACAAGTAGAGTTAATGAATCGGTGGACAGCGTCGCCGGCGTTCTTGCCCCCACTCCTCGGCTTCACCACGTCGACAAAGCCGACACTCTCCCTCGCGCTTTGGGAGCCCGCGGTCTCGTAGTCACTCCAGGATCAGAGAGCGCAAGGGCACCGAATTCTTTGCTCGTTCTTTGGGTGGCCCCATGAATGCAGAGCACGAAGAGGCCCTGAAATTCGCAAAAATCAGCAAGAGAGAAAATCGCGTCTACGTTGGCAATCTCAACTATGACATTAAATATCGTGATCTCATGGAATTCATGAGGGCAGGTAGGTGGGGGATCTTTTGTATATTTAAGTTTGTAGTGGCGAAAGAGAGATTGCGGTTGACATAAGTGAACGCGTTGTTTTTTGTCTTTTTTTGTTTGGAAAATGGAGATGTAGAGAGGATATTGATGGGATTTCCTTTTTGGATTGGCAGCTGGAGAAGTTCTATTCGCCGAAATCTTGGTGACGCCCATGGGGATTTCTAAAGGATGCGGGTATGTCGCACCGATGTCCATCACCTATATGCCTAATTTTATCTACATAGCATCGTGGAATTTTCATCTACCGAGGTTGCGCAGTGCGCTATCCGTGAACTTTCGGAGATGCCATTACTTGGACGACCGGTTTACATTCGAGAGGTATGATACTTCTTTTGTCCTTCATACAGCGAGCTTAGACCACACAGGATCGTGAAAATGATTCTCGTTTTGGAGCTACCCCAGTTCCTGGTAAGATGGGTATGGCGATGGCTGGGCAGGGTTTCTTTGGTCACACTCAAAATGATCCCGGCAATCAACTTCACATTGGAAATGTATGTTCGTTTGACCTTCTATTCATTTTTACATCAATTCCGCTTTCTAGCTTCCCTATCAGACGACATGGCGAGACCTCAAGGATCTGCTTCGCACAGCCGGAAATATAATCCGTGCAGACATCGACATTGGAGCGGATGGTCGTCCCAAAGGTTCTGGTACAGCTGTATTCGAGACTCCCAAGGACGCTCAGCAAGCCATTAGTGAGTAGTATCTTCTTACCACGAATCCGATTGATTATCCTCATCATAGGCATGTATCATGGCTTTGAATGGTATGGGCGCGTTTTGGAAGTTCGCGAGGTATGCAAACAGCAACAGGTTTATCTATATTAACAGCTTGATATCAGGACCACTTGGCTGGTTTAACTGGAGCCGGACGCGGAGGCTTCCGTGGCGGACTTCGCGGTGGTTTACGTGGAGGCTTCAGAGATGGCATGCGAGGAGGTTTCGGCGGCGGACCCGGTCGTGATTTCTCCCACAGTGAGTTATATGCAGACTACTCAGGACCCGATCAACATGTTCCGGGTTTGAGAATGGATAACTATGGTGGCGGGTTTGGCACCGGTATGGGTTATCGAGGTTATACTGAACCCGAACCAAGTCAGCAGATCATGGTTCGCAACGTACGTATAGCATTGCTGATCAGCGTAACTTTCTCACTTTTGTCTACAGTTGCCATGGTCCACTACGAATGAAGATCTTGTCGAGCTGTTTGAAACCACGGGTCAAGTTGAGTTGGCGGAGATTCTGTTAGAAGGTACTCGCTCCAAGAATCGCGGTGTAGTTCAATTTGCGCAGGTGACAGAAGGCGAAACTGCTATTGGTGAGTGTCTGCTGGTCTTGCGTACGACCCTTCTCAATGCTTCGTTCATAGCAAAATTCCAACAATACATGTATGGCGGCCGACCCCTGGGTATGTTTTATTTTACTTATCTTCTTGTCACCACTAATTGATCTTGCGAAGACATTCGGTTCAATGACCGTTGGCACACCTTTACCACGGCTGCTGCCAAAGGAGGGGTCAACCTCCTCCCGGACTAAAATTTCTTCAACTTTCACTTTGTCAAATACATGACCTCGCCATCTGTCGACAGGAAAATCGCAGTCGCTATGTCTGAACCACGGGAACTCAGGACATTCCGCATCGCATCAAGAATTTCAGTGCCTCCAAAGTTTGCATCCGTACATTCAACGAGACTTGTCTTGGAATTGATAGAACACTATTAGCTTACTGGGTACTATTGTGAAAGCTTATGTATGTATCTTTACTGCAATGTTAAGCGTACGCTGGCTATAAACTTGACTGTCATCCCATACACCGTCAGTATCACTCCCGAAACTAATTATATGGAAGAATGTTTAAATTTTTGGAAGCATCCTTTGGGGAAGCACACGAAGGAGCATCTCAAGAGTACGTTTAGCAGTCTCGATACGAGCATTCGCCAAGCTACCACTGAAAACGGGGAGGTGGCTGTGCTCACCAATTGAGGATAATTTGTTCTTTTGTCCACAACAACACCACCTACTAGTAATACCACACTTCTCGTTGTCTGTGTACCATCATGAAGCTCGATGCTGCCGTTTTACAGTATATCCTGCGAGTTATGCATTCAATTCTAGATTGCCGTGTATCTGCTCAACGAACGAATATACTAGTAAGTGGACTCTGACAACCCTACGGTGAATTGAATTTTCCAATAATTTATGCCAGAAACTTAATACTAGGCTCCACTGTCGTGGACTGCACCTCGCTTGGGTCACGATGATCGTCATTGATATCAAGCCGAGTAGTCAGTATTACGCTACATATATACAGAAGCCCTATAATCAGTGCATCAGGGAAAAATGAAAGCTATGTGTATGAGTAAGGAGTCTATGTAGCTAGAGTACTCCAGTAGACATCCCCCCCTATATGAACAGTACAGTATTAGTATGTATAACAAGGACACCAAACCAACTGTCTATGTAGCAGTCCGTATCATTGCGTAAAGCTGCGTATAAGCAATATATTTGTATGTACAATTACAAATTAGGCCCCCTACTTGTACACAGCGTTATATACAACTACATAGCACTACGATAGAAGTACAGTCCTATATTGTAGTGCTACTACAGGCTACAACATTTCCTTTTTGTTGCTTCGCTGATAGCAGGCTGGACTAGTACCAATGATTCAGAATCGAGAATTATATGCCATTTAGACACTACACTACTTTCTAGCAATACTCTTTGGTCTAGGAGGTACTGCTGAAATAACTGCTTTTGGTCTCTTCTTTGTCTTTCATAGACTTTTGTTGTCTGGTATCTCATTGACGGGCTCTGTCCCTTGCATCCCATCCTCTATTTCCATATTAGTCGGCTCGTTTGATATCATGACGGCTATAGAAGTAAATGAATTGTAGTAATAGAGAAGATTAGAACTTACGTTTGTCCAAATCAATGAGTTTCAACGGCACTGCAGGAGTCCGATGGTGACTTTCAGGATACTCTTCCTCTGGACTAGGGTGTGAGATCGGCGACAGCGCTATCAAAAATGCAGTTAGAAATGAATGTTAGAGAGTATCAGACTCACGTTTAGTAAGATTCACCACGTTGAAGCCATTAGCTCTACCGCTACCACCTTCCGCAATCAGACCACCATCATCTCCCTCCATACCATTATTGATCTCATCCTCATATTTATTCTCGCCGCCACCATTGTTATCATCATCTTTGCTGTTCTCACCTCCACTGTTGCTGCCGTTGTCATCTTCACTGTTGTTGCCGTAGTCACCTTTGCCGTTGTTTTTGTCCCTGTATTCATCGTCACTACCCTCATCATCTTCACCATCATTTCCCTCATCATCTTCATCACCTTCGTCATCTTCACTCATGTCAGGAACCTTCATAGCGTGAAGCTCTGCAACTGCGTTCTTTCTATCCTTTCGGGACATTTTGACATCCTCTGGACCAGTAACACCTCCAACACCGGCATACTTCCTAGAAACAGCAATGAAATCTTGATCATATAGTAAAAACACACACATACTGTCCCAGGTAATACCATCGTTTCATGATCGTCATGGTTTTCTTCTCATCAAGGGCAATCCATTCATCAACCCGCGTGACATGTTTCTAAAAACTCAAATTCATAACATCCTTGTCAAGGGTGCGCGGGATGCGGATACCTGTTGACCACTGGCTTAGAAAATGTTCCGTCTAGGAAAGGAGGTTACACAAGACATTGAGGCCAAGAAAATATATATTACTTGCCAGTGTGAACAGAAAAGCCACCGTAGCAGGCGGGATAGGATTGAACAGAAACTCATGGTCAACTCCATGCGCTTTCTTATTATAGAATAGAATTTGGCAGATTCCATCAACAATGAACAGAGCTTGCATGAGGCCTGTACGCATAGTTGGATCCTAACACATGATTAGCAAGATCCCTAAAAGCATTATACAACGTACCAAGTAGTAAAAACCAAAATCGGTCATAAGTGCAAGATACAGTATCTTGTTGTGCTTGCGAACCTTACTGCCTGTCCCTTTCTTGAACTTGAATGCCGTTTCGAAGAGCATTGCAACACGGTCCCATGAAGCTTTCCATATACGAGTTTCCCTCCGCATCATCTACAAACTATTTAGTACACATGATAACACGGCATTGACCTGAAATGCATTCACTAGCGTCTTTACTTCTTCCGAAAGCACAAACGGTGTTTCATCTTCATGGAGCAGCTTTGACATGAAGTACTTCCATATATTCTCTGTCCAATTCATCTGCAAAACACTTGTCGGATACATATGTAAAGCAACAATGGTCAGCTCGTAGCTTTGAAGACACTGTCTGAACAGTTTTTTTGAGAGCCCCTTGTAATGACACAATAGTTTTCCAGATGTATTAGTGAATCAAGCAAGTTTGCGAAGCTCAATGTCACTCTCTCCCTCAAGCCGCGGTGGTTCGATGGGATCAACCGGTGGCTGAGCATGACATGGGGAAAGTGGCTTTGGCATAAGCATTGGAGGTTGTATACAGCCTATAGTGGAAGGAGTGTGTACTACCAAAGGCTCTTGTTGAGCGTTAGGAGGTGTAAGGGGTGGCCATGAAGGTTGATCAGGATGAATAGAGACTGGGGCCTTGAGGACAGACTTGCGAGGGATAGCCGGAGGTGATTGGAGAACAACATTGACCGTACGGACCTGCAACCCAGGAGAAGTAGTGAGTAATGATAGCTTTCGATCAATAGGAACATACCGAACTCGGAAATAAGGTCTTTGGAGAGCCAAGACCGGAACCAGCTCCAGTGTATCTGAAGTCTAGCTCATTACCAGTTCCAAGGTCATCTTCGTCTTCACTTTCGGGTGCTGAGCGGCCATGTTGTTCATAGCAATCATCCTCATAGTTGCTCCGGCGGTGTTCGAGAGCTTTTTCCCTTTCTAGAACAACCCATTTGCCTTTCAAAGAAAAAAAAACTATAATGTTAAGCTTACCGCGGGCCTCATTGAGGTTTTGTTTGTACGTCTGGTTTTCTTTCTGTATTTTCTTCAACTCCCTCTGTAATTTCTCGAGCTCCTTTGTCTGACTACGGTCATCTGCATTCAAGCAATAATGAGTGCACAGGTAAAAGAAGATGAAATGCAAGACCATTTTCTGCTTGTTTTAATGTCGGAATATGACGAGTTCTAGTCCGCATTTCAGTAAGAAGATTTTCACTCAGGTCATCTTGAGGTTTGTGTTGTTTTGATGCCTGACCATTGTCGCCATCAGATGGTCTCTTTGAATTTGTTTGAGAATTTGAACGACGGTGAGAAGCCATGAAAATTATTGAAGAAATTATTGAATATAAAGGCCACGCAGCAATGTTGCACGTGCAAACAACGGCAGCAATGCCTCAATAACTAAATATTCCACATTACGGGCACCCCGGAAAATCCAAACTCATCTTCATGTCAAAAAGAAACTTGCCTACAAAGAAGCCCCATGAGTGTGCTGTCTGTCACAATTACAGAGGTGAAAAAGCTGCTCACCTACGAAGTCACCTAGCACATACTGGCTGCGGTAATGCACTAAAACTGCGACATGCCACGAATCAAAGATATCAGCAAACTATTCATAAAAACATTCATCACGAGCCTTCACTGAGCCTTTCTATTTCATCAAATGATTTCCCCGACTTTGAGGCCTCCACCTCCACATTCACGAAGCATGACAGTTCTGAATCTCCTCCACCTCCAAAAAAACCGCGAATGACTGTTGAGGAAGTCACTGACAATGGTGACTCTAGTCCTGGAATGTCAAGAAATCAGTTTGTATCAGTAGATTTCAGCGGAGCAGGGGCAGAACTAGAAGGAGAAACATGGAAAAACGGCTTCCAGCAATTCAAAGACACCAAACAGGAGAAGTCCGAGGAGATGTGGTCACCATTTAAAAGTCGTAAAGAGTGGCAACTCGCGCGCTGGTTAATGCTGTCTGGAGTCAGTCATGGTGATATTGATTCTTTTGCTAAGTTGTCCATTGTAAGTTATATCTAGAGATGATTCTTCCATTATTCAACCAAAAATTTACAGATTCAGGACGAGCTACATTCATCATTTAAGGACAAACGTACCTTCTTGAAGAAAATTGATGCCTTGCCTACTGTGCGTGGGGGATGGATTTGCAAAGAGCTCGAAATTGTTGGCAACATCATGAAGAAGGCCGCCGATGGCACAGAAGTCCCAATGACTGAAGGAGTAGAGCTCTGGAGACGGGATCCCATTGAATGCATCAAGGAGCTTATGGAGGACCCCCGGTTTGAGGAGCATATGCGATATGCACCAGAGAGGATGTTCACTAATGAGACCATGCATATGCGAGCAATTGATGAAATGTGGATGGGTGATTGGTGGTGGGCGACGCAGGTGTGCAACAATCTAGGTATACTGATAGGTCAGCTAACAGTGAAATCGGATATAGAAACTGTTACCCGAAGGGTCAACAATCGCACCAATAATCCTGGCATCCAACAAGACTCAACTCTCTACATTGAGTGGAGACAAGTCTGCTTGGCCTGTATATCTTACGCTCGGGAATATTGAATCATCTGTGAGGCGGAAACCGTCAGAGCAAGCCTCGATTCTGTCATAAAGTACGCAGCCCCTATCATTTTCCTTTTCTCACCGTCTCGACGCCTTTACTTGTACGATACATCATCCCATCACTGTCAAACCCCCATCGATTACTGATCCACCTGACCCATCTTCTCCTTCTACTGGCTTCCGCCACCTTCCTTGTTCCTAAACTGTACAGTATTACATCGTTGTTTCTCGCAGACCGGATTATGTATATATAGCCAACCCTCCACAGCCTGGTCCCTTATCTTGACCTCTCTGTCATTATCTGGGACCAGGTATGTGCTTACTTATTATTACCTATGACTACGATACTCAATATATCTCTGTCATTATCTGGGACCAGCTTGCCGCCGTTCTGCTTAGTCGCTCCGCCTTGTTGCCTTGTCCAGTTGCTCCGCCTCACCGTTCTGCTTAGTCGCTCCGCTTTCCCGCTCCGTTAGTCACTCCGCCTCTGCCGCTTCGTGACAGATTCTGATAGGATATATACCGGTCTCAAAGCTGGAATGTTTCTCGAAGGATGCACAATCTGTTGAGGGCTATCGGCTGTTCCATGACTGTATAGGCATGCTCCTCGAGGAGTTGATTGTTGCAGGAGATCCGCATAAAGGAGGGGTGAAGATGCTGTGCTCTGATGGCAAAATCCGATTTGTGTTCCCGCTACTTGCTGCATATGTAGCTGATTTCCCGGAACAGTGTCTCGTTGTGTGTGGCCAAGAAAATCGGTGCCCAAAATGCACTGCTCAGGAGAAAGAGCTCGGAGACCCATTGCACTCTATTCTTTGAGACCCTGACAGGACGATTCAATCATTGCAAAAGGCAGCAAATGGAGACAACAGCTCTGCAGTCACGCTAGGCTTACGCCTCGTTACTCCATTTTGGGCTAGCTTACCACTATGCAATATCTTCCACTGTATCACACCCGACATTCTTCATCAGCTACACAAGGGAGTGTTCAAGGATCATATTGTGAGGTGGTCAACACGCGCAGTTACTGGGAAGAGTAAAAAGGAGCGAGAAAGAGAGATTGATATTTGGTTCCAATCAATGCCACGTCATCCAACCTTGCGCCATTTCAAGTAAGGAATTTCGTTGATCACGCAGTGGACCGGGCATGAGTATAAAAATATGGAGAAGATCTTCTTAGGTGTTATTTCTGGTGCCACCGAATCAGAAGAAATCGTTCTTTGTGTGCGGGCCATACTTGATTTTATCGAGTATTCCCAGTTCAGTCTGCACACGGATGAGTCTCTGGAGAAAATGGATGAAGCTTTACGTCTGGAGAAAATGGATGAAGCTTTACGCAGCTTTCATTCCCATAAGGATGCTGCATTTGTGGACACGGGCATTCGACAAGCTTTCAACATTCCAAAAGTGCACTCCATGAAGTATTACACTCCGATGATCCTCTCAATTGGATCTCAGCAAGATCCTTCTGTATCACTACTTCACTCGTCAGTGCAATCAAGACCTGGCATATAGTCGCCGGTTTTTGGAACTCCATGGAACTCCTGCACACTGTGCTACTTGGGGGATTCCTTTGGACATCTGGCATCAGTACGACGCTGCCCTTCATGAGCATACCTCCTCTACTTCGACTTTCTTAGAGTTGAACATGCTTGATGAGCAGGATGAGGTCGACGCTGTTCAATTGGCGACCATTGCCGAGGCGCATTCTGGTTTGGCTCATCAACTTGTTTCCCCTCCAGCTCCTCAGATGCCTATAAAGGGGGGAGAATCAGATATTTTTACCTCCAACATGCCTCCCACTCCTTGTTCTATGCTGGTCCCTCGCATCCTCACCGCTCACCCTGACAAGACCATGCCTACAGGTCAATAACTATAGAAGTTCTGAGGTCAGATATGGGCCAGAAATGGCCCGGGATAACTCCGAGGTCCGGAGCTGAGTACTGGAGTGGGACGTTGGTGAAGCTATTAGCAACACCCTTCACACACTGTTGGTATCCCTGGTAATATAATGGCAATGATATAATGTCAAGATGAGCAGCCTAGATGGGGTTCCTGTGATCCGGGAGTCCGGAATAGCTCGGAAGCAAAGGTAAAGGAGGTATTAAAGAGTGGGATAAGGTGGTACACTTGATTTCAAGCTTGACTACAATGTACAAAGTATTCTAGCTTATATACATCCCGAATACAGTCAGAAGACCTCCTCGGAATAATAAATAGAATGTAGGTCACAAGGTTATTAATCCGAAGTCCGGCCGGTCCGGTCCGGTCCGGGAAGCGTATTAGGTGAATTGCATGCATATGACACACCCCTACCGCGCTGAGAATCAGTGTCTCGTTGCTCAGGTTCAACTGCTTGAGTCCCAGCTTGCCGACTTGCAGAGGGAAAACTCTTCCCTTACCACTGCCCTTTGCGATACTTCGCATGCCTTTGAGGCTAGGTAATGGGAGGTGGAGTAGCTGCGGAGCTCCAGTTGGGAGTCCGTCCAACACAAGGTGGAGTATTGTCGTATGATCGACCAGTTCCTTGCTTTGGATAGGGCCCTTCAAGGTCCACCTGGTCAAGTGAGTTGCTTCTTGCCTGACCTTTGTTTTGCAGAGTCTTTTAGAGCGCTTCAAAAAAAAGTAGAAGAACTTCGAGTTGCTAATAAAGAGTGGGATGCAGCTGTGGAGCAGTTATCCACCTCCTCCCGCAAGGTTTCGGAGTTGACTACTACATTGCTGCATGTAAGACCTGGGTCAGAAAAGGTCTTAAGGTAGGGTTTGGTATATGAAGGTTTATGTTGTAGCGTGCTAGGAGCAGGCTGGAGCTCGAAGGGAGCTACGGAAACCGTGACCGAGGACAGGAATGACCTAGTAGTGGCTGGGACGAAGAAGTGGTGACCCTTGAGGGGGTTCCTAGGAGGTCCAGGGAGGTCCCTAAGGCATAGGGAGGTTAGGTCAAAGTACGGGACCTTGTAATATTGCATAGTAGGAGTTGTACTTGCTAGAACATCAATATAGGATTCGAATAGGTCGTAGATGGAAGTGGGTCTCGAGGTTGTAAGCTCCCGAGAAGGTATATGTCATGCCTCGACCACTATCCACAGCCCTCTTAATGGTGACTACCAGGACAGCCCCAGTATCAGCCATACGCTCTCAGCCCTCTTCACCGATCCATGCCCGTACCTCCCCAAGACAGTATCATCTTTGGTATCACCTTCCTCCCCGCGACACGAGTAGCTCCTAAACCTCCCCCGACACGCGTTTGAAGCCCTCCTACACCTACCCCATTAAGGTACTAATCTTGATTACACGCCTCATGGCCCCTGATGTTCCCTTGTTCACTTCCTGTACCTATTTAAGTAGCTCTGATACGTCCCCAAGCCCCAGCTTGGTATATTTTGAACACACACCCTTTAACATAGGTCGTCCCTGTCCCTTTGTACCTGCTACCTATACGGAATTCTCTCTACTCTCTATTTCTTTATCTTTGTTTCTCTCAACTCTGTCTATCATCTCTACGATCGTCTATACGATCCAATACATGCTTTAACTTCACGTCTAAGCAACCTGAGTGAGTCTCCGAGCTCCCTCAAACAATACTAAAGCTCCCCAACGCCTACCGCCTTGGTGAGCTAACCTCCCCAAAACCTCCTTGAGCACCCCAATTGCTCCATAAGCTCTGGGACCTCAGTCTAGGTAATGTCGAACTACCTGCCGCTTCTCCGTTACCACCTCCAATGCTCAAGGATGTCCACCTTCAACCCCCAGTTCCCGGGACCTCCCCTTCCGGGTGTATACCTTCTCAGGAGCTTATACATTCAAGACCTAATCTCCATACGACCTATTCGATCTCACGTTGACGTTCTAGCGAGTACAACTCCTCTTACGCAACACTACTAGGTTCCGTACCTCCCTTTCCTCTATCTTACGCCTTAGGGACCTCCCTGGACCTTACAGGAACCCCTCCAAGGGTCACATCTCTCAGTACCAATCACTACTAGGTCATTCCCGTCCTCGGTCGCGGTTTCCGTAGCTCCCTTCGAGCTCCAGCCTGCTCCTAGCACGCTACAACGTAAACTTCTCATACCAAAACTATCCTAAGACCTATTCTGACCCAGGTCTTACAATATGCCTAGTGTCATTTGGGTTGGAGGCGGTGTTGAAACAAGCAGGTTCTGAGACGGGTTCGCAGGGAGCAGTTCTGCTGTCTTCAGTGTGTTCCAATCAGCAGCAGGATAGCCTGAACTTGGGTGAGAACCGAACCAGAAACGTTTGGTCCAACCTTGTTCTTGTATGCGATTAGCCATTACGATTTCCGTGAGAAGGCATTTTTCCTTTGGTATATCACAGATTACACACCTGAATTCCACCCGCATCCACATGTGCTCCAGCAGTGTTGCTGATGACAAGAACATTGCCCTTACCAAAAACTTGTTTACACTCCTTCCATGCCTCTTCAATTTCCGGTATGAGGGTATCCTTTCCGGGAAGAGTCTGGTGAATTGTTCATGATTTTGCTGGGAACTTCACCAGGCAATTATCTTTGTCAAAAACAGCTCCTCTATAGCCTGCATGTTTTAACGCATCAAAATTGAGATGGCGGATATCTTTCTGTCATTGACTTGAATTTAGCACGGAGGCAACCAGAAATTTGAGAGAAAAGCGCACCTCTAATTGATAAACTAGGAACAATTATTCTAGGGTTTACCAGAGACTGGACGGAAGCTAGAATTCCTGGTACATTGAGCGGCATCAAGCGTAAACGTGTAAACAGGCATCAACCAGAATTTGTCCTTGCACAAAGTGGTAGAAATCAAAAACAGCGGACTGTCTGTCCCACTGAGAGCACTTTCAATTTGCAAGCTTCACTGTTCTAACCATAACAATTAAGATCCTCTGCCTGCTAAAACCAACAATGGTGTCCTGTGATTTCTGTGACGGCCTTGGTTTGATCGCATTCTTACATTCATTGTGAAACAATAGAACTGCCTCTGACCTTTACGACCATCTTCAGCGGGTGACACCCATCAAAATCCAAAAGATATCAATTTTATTGTTGTGTGTTTGTTCACCATCTAAGCGCTGGAGTTGCCACACCTGCCGATTGATGCCGTGCGTACCTTGAGCCTTCAAAGTTCAAAGTTTCAATGCGTTCAATGCAACCCTCAGAATTGTTGTATTTTTAAATTTATCTACATTTAGTTATATGCTCTGTAGTGTCAGTATTAGAAAGCCCTTGCTTCCTTGATAATTCATCTATCTGTAGTTGGATATCATCAGATCTGAGAGAAGGCAGCAGAGCTGTCTTCTCAGAGGATAAGATAAGATGTGGCAATGAGAGTGGGCGCTTATCGCTTTTGCACTACGCTCTCATCGTCAAAATTCACTCAAGCTCGTTTTGTGATTTTTTCTGTGCATATACGCGCTATTAAGCCATGACGCAACACCCCCCACTTCTCCTCGGAACCTTGTCATCTAACAGGGCCATAGATTGTCAATGCTGTACTCATATACTCAAAATTATCCCAATCCTGAAAAAACTCAGCCTGGAAAGAAGATTTCAGAAGAACTACAACATTGAACGAGCTAATGAGGCGCGGCAGGAAAAAACTATGCTCTTTATAGAAAGGAAGGCTCCTGCCAAGGGCTCTCCTTCGGCTTCGCTTATAACTATTACGGAGGATGAATGGAATGACATTAGGACAACCCCGGCCATTTTTGAGCATGTAAAACAGTGGATTCTTAGTTACATACTTGTGTGGATGGCAAGGGCCAATGATATGGATAATCTGTCTAAAGGGAAGCGCACTCGGGACGTGCAGGAGGGGAGAATGGGCCGGAGAAGAATCCTAGGCTCATGACCCCAATCATTGAGACTATGCCAGACCCGACTACCTCCCAGAACATGGAGATACCAGAATGCCTCTATAAAATTGGAAGGTTGTACAATTATCTTCCTCTTTCTCTCTTTGTGGACAACAACCTTATTTTTATTCATTCCCACTCCTCGTCTTTTAAGACCTCAAAAACTCTCCTTCCAGGGGACAAGAAACGTACCGAAGTGGTCATCCTGAAGGATTTGCTGAATCGTCTCAACATTCGGGTGCCGGATTTAGAGAAATCAGATGAAGATGAAGGTCTTTTGCTATACGGATTTCAGCTCACTTCCAAGAATTACTTCGCTTTTGAACTCAGTCGTGACCCAGATGGTCAGGAGGGTACCCATACAAATTGGACTCAATAACACTTTCTTTTTTTCAACAATCAACCCGATGCAGAGGAATACTACTGATTCTGGAAACCTCACGAGTACCGTCTTCAGGAAGAACACCGTCTGTATAATTGTCATGCCCTGACTGCTACCAGACCCGTCCCAGTACCAACCAGAAACTCCTATACATCTTATCTAGCTCCGTAAACCCCCAAGACAGTACCGCCACTCCCCTGTAACCTTCCCATTACCCAAGCACCTGACGACCCCCTCGACACGCATACAGGACCCCCTACAAGCAACTCCATTAAGTATCAATCTTGATTACCGCCTCATGTTCACCAGATCCCCTGATGTTCCCTTGTTCACTTCCCATACCTATTTAAGTAGTTCCGCAATGTCCCCAAGCCCCAGCTTGGTATATTTTGAACACACACCCTTTTGCATAGGTCCAGTCCCTGTCCCTTTGTACCTGCTAGCCATATGAATTTCTCTTTACTCTCTGTTTGTCTATCTCAGTTTCTCTCTACTCTTGTCTGTTGTCTCTACGATCATCTATATGATCCAATATATATGCTTTTACCTCACGTCTAAGCAATCCGAGTGAGTCTCTGAGCTCCCTCAAACAATACTAAAGCTCCCCAACGCCTAAAAGCCTTGGTGAGCTAACCTCCCCCAAACCTCCTCAATCTCTGAGACCTCGATCTAGGTAACATTGAAGCTATCCCTTACGTCGAACTACGTACCGCTTCTCTGTTATAACCTCCAACACTCAAGGACGTCCATCCTCAAGCCCAGTCCCCGGGACCTCCCCTCCCAGGTGTATATCCTCTCAGGAACTTACACACTCGAGACCCACTTCAACTACGACCTATTCAATCTTACGTTGACGTTCTAGCGAATACAACTCCTACTACACAATGCTACTAGGTTCCGTACTTCTATCTCTCCTCCCTATGCCTTAGGGACCTCCCTGGACCTCCTAGAAACCCCTTCAAGGGTCATATCTCTCCATCCCAGCCACTACTAGGTCATTCCTGTCCTCGGTCGCGGTTTCCGTAGCTCCCTTCAAGCTCCAGCCTGCTCCTAGCACGCTACAACATAAACTCACTATACCAGCACCTACCCTAAGACCAATTCTGACCCAGGTCTTACAATAATGCCAAATTTGATCTTACCACTTATGACATGGCATGGAATCGCGTCGTCACCAATTACAAGCAGTCTTTAGAGGCGAAACCTAGACAGACACCTAACTTGTCCGTGGCTCCCTCCTCATCTAAGCCCTTTCAAAAAGGCAGCAAGGGTGACTCCTTCGACCTCTGTTGCCTTGGATGTGGTAAGAAGGGGCACTCCGCTACGGACCACTTGAGTAAACATGGTTCTCTCCTCTGGGCCAGGTGGATCAAAGGGGGTAAATCTTCCATCCTTGGTCTCCCTCAGGGAGAAGATAAACGCATCTGCTATCAGTGGAACATCCGAGGGAATTGCAAAGCTAACAAGGGCTGTGAGGATGTGCATGTCTGCACTTTCTGCAGAAGTGACGGGCACCACGCCTTCTTGTACACCTGTCGCTCAAGACCTAATTGAGGCATTCCTCAAACTTTTGATTCCACCAACCCTTTCTTACTATGACTTTTCCGACGCTATACATTTTTGCTTACCACTTCCCAACACATGTCCCAAGTTCATTGAGCGATATGAGCGAATTGTTACTCCTTACAATGCAGATGAATTCGACAAAGCTCTAGTAGCCTGCAAGATCTCTCATCACTACCCACTACTTCTTCATAACCTCCATCGAGGTTTTCCACTTGGCCATCTGCCTCCACTACATGAAATGATCATCATTCCCAATCATCAGTCGGTATATGAGCACCCCGAGGTAGTTAAGCAATACATCTCCAATGAAATCACCGCTGGCCAAATGGCCGGGCCATTCTCTCATGCAGACATGCACCTCATCATGCATGGTCACTTTTACGTCTCACCTCTCATAGTGGCTACACAAATTCAGGGTCCAGGCATTCCTCCCAAACATAGGGTGTGTCGTAATCTTTCAAAAGATGGTCATGACTTGGAGGGACACATAGTCCCTTCAGTCAATTCTTTCACTCAGAAGAACCTGTTTCCAACGTGTTTCGATATGGCATCCAAAGTTGCACAAATGGTAAGTCCAATTTCTTTCCTAACATAATTTTTTTTCCAGCTCTTCTTCGACTACCATTACTTCAATCATTACTGTCTACTTGCCTACTTTCACTTTACTCATACTACTCTTTAATCAGGTTGCTACGGCTCCACCAGGCACTCAAGCCTGCACACTTGACATTCAAAAATTTCATTGCACTTCTTCAATACTACCCGAACATAAACCTTTCCTCGTCGTTCAGGATCACTTAGGCTGTCTCTTTGTGGACCTTGTCTTTTGTTTTGGTGCCGCACCAGCCAGCAGTAATTCAGGAATGATTTCCAACACTGTTGTTGATATCCTGCTGATCAAACTAATTGATGCACTGCTGAAATATAAGGATGATTTGAAAGCCTTCCGAGTTCCAAACTCGCAGGGCTCCTATGATTATGACAGAGCCTCAATGTTGGAGGCTATTGAATCACTTGGTGTCTCATGGCATCCCAACAAAGGTGATGAAGATTTCGTGACTGTCACCCAATTCATAGGTTTTCTGTGGAATCTCGAGCTCAAGCGTGTTAGCCTTCCCAATGACAAACACATCAAATATTTTGAGTGCATTTGAGTCTTCCTGTCTAATTTCTCAAATACTCGTGTTTCTGTGTCAGAGGATGAGTCAATACATGGAACACTCTGCCACATTGCTTTTATTTACCACAAAGTTCATTCTCATCTTCCCCCAATCTCAAATTTCATGGCTTCGTATTGTAGTTCTTTTGAAGAAAACCATGGTCATTTCCCCCCAAAAAGCATTCTCACAGAACTTCGCTGGTGGCACCATCAACTTCAGGATCCTTCCTATTACTGAGAACTTCGACCACGAGGTCAACTCAAGGACTTTGGTGTATTTGTTGATGCCTCCACTGAGTGGGGTATTGGTATTGTCTTCAATGGCAGCTGGGCAGCATTCCGCCTCCGTCCCAATTGGAAGATTCCCGGTTGTGACATTTGCTGGCTTGAAACAGTAGCTGTGGAACTATTGATTTACTTTCTAGAACCAAAAAATTTCCACGATATCTACCTTCTCATTCACTCAGATAACCAGGGAACTATCAGCGCTTTTGATAAAGCACGCAGCCCTAATTACTGAATTAATATGTCCATCCGTTGCATCTGGTGTTATTGGCCCGCTATTTATTCAACCTGAAATCAAATACATTCCCACTGCTCTCAATCCAGCAGACCCATTCTCGTGCAGAGAACTTGGATCTGTTATGGATAAACTTCCACTTACTTTTTTGCTCCCATTGGAGCTGCAAGAAATTCTTGATTATGTTTAGGTAACGCACTCCCTACTTCCCATTAACTACATCAGATTTAACCGTAATTTTTTCTAAGCCCCCTTCACTTCTTGGCGCTGTCATGCCTCGCTCCGAATCCCATAGCCCATAAGCTCCTTAACATAGTTCCCAACCTCCTCAGTCCCCTTACCTCCTCAGCCTCCTTCCCTGAACCCCTGAGAACACTCCCAACGTCCCGCAGACCTCCTTACTGCTAGGACAACCTCCACGATCCTTAGTTCCCCTCAATGCAACCGAACCACTCCATGACAGGGTCCTGGAACCCCGCACATGCGCCCATCATTCCGTCCTCATGTCCGTCCTCATGTACTTAGAAACCCCATTAAGTGCCCGTTTCATACTATGTCTCTTTGTTAACTTCCCTATACGTATTTAAGCAGTCCAGTAGCGTCCAGAAGCCCAGCTTGGTATATTTTAAACACACACCCTTTACATAGGTTCAGTCCCTGTCCCTTTGTACCTGCTACCTCTACGGAATTCTCTTTACTCTCTATTTCTCCATCTCTGTTTCTCTCAACTCTTGTCTATCGTCTCTTTGATCGTCTATACGATCCAATACACGCTTTTACTTCACGTCTAAGCAATCCGAGTGAGTTCCTGAGCTCCCTCAAACCATACTAAAGCTCCCCAATGCCTACCGCCTTGGTGAGATAACCTCCCCAAACCTCCTCGAGCTCCCTAGCTACTCCCTAAGGTTCGGGACCTCGATCTAAGTAACGTCGAAACTACCCCTCACGTCGAACCACGTATTGCTTCTCTGTTACCACCTACAACACTCGAAGACGTCCATCCTCAAGCCCAGTCCCCGGGAACCTACCCTCCCGGGCATATACCTTCTCGGGAGCTTACAACCTCGAGACCCACTTCCATCCACAACCTATTCGAATCCTATATTGACGTTCTAGCAAGTACAACTCCTACTACGCAATATCACAAGGTTCCGTACTTCTACCTAACCTCGTTACGCCTTAGGGACCTCCCTGGACCTCCTAGGAACCCCCTCAAGGGTCACCCCTCTTCGCCCCAGCCACTACTAGGTCATTTCTGTCCTCGGTCGCGGTTCCCGTAGCTCCCTTCGAGCTCCAGCCTGCTCCTAGCACGCTACAACATAAACCTTCCTATACCAAATCCTACCTCAAGGCCTATTCTGACCCAGGTCTTACAGGCGCTGGACAGTTCCGGTGCGAGCTCCGGCGTTCCACGCACCCCGAGAGTTTGAATAATTCCTACCTTAGCTGCAGATTCTACTCTATCATATCAGAACCCCCTCAATTTCCGTAACAATTTCTCTCAAATTGCACAGCCTAGTCTTCACTGCCCTCCGGAAAGACCAACTACACCCACTTCCTGTTCCCAGAATACCATCTCAGCTCAGCCTCCACCAAGAGGCGAGTGAGATTCAGATCGCGGGTACTTATGTTGCCACGAGAAAGGCCCAAGGCCTAGAACTTTATGATGACACCAGCCATTCTCATTGGCTTTTTGTGGCACAAACTCTGCCAATTTCATTCAGTCATTGATTTTTGAATACTCATAAACTGTTTGTACAAACCCAGCAGAACCTATGTAGGAAGATGTCGTCAAATTGAAGGATTTGTAGAAATTTGCTCTTGTAGTCAACGGGCCTCTACGGGCCTTTCCATTCAATTGGGGGGGGGGTCATGAGAATCGTACCCGCGATCTGAATCTCACTCGCCTCTTGGCCTCCACCTTGGGCTGGCACCAACTTTGCTCTAGCTCCCAGAAAACCAAGAAAGGACTCAAGAATTGTCAATAACACCCTACGGCCCAATGTTAGCTCAGCTGATCGGATTCTGGCATGGACTTCACCATGGCCCATTGAGAGGAAACTTCAGGATCTCAAATACATTCTGCTACATATCCTTTAGCAAGCAGAACAAATCACAGCCTCAGGCCTCACTGGTAAGACAAAATCCAGTTACGCAGCAGGTCTCCTTCGCTGGCACCAATTCTGTGATCAAGAGTCAATCCCGGAGCCCATGCGTATGCCTGTCTCTGAAGTCCTCATGGCTGGCTTTGTTTGTGCTCACATAGGTAGCGTCTCAGGAAGCACAATTCAATTGTGGCTTTCTGGTAAATGGGCTTGGCATGTTCTCAATAGAGCACCATGGCCTTCGAACTCCGAATTTATTACTCTTGCCCGCCGTGCTGCGAATATCAAAGGGAGTCTTCACAAATGTCCACTTCGCAATCCAATCACTCTCCAACACCTACTTGTCCTCCATTCGGCTCTAAATTTCAGCACCCCTTTCCACTGTGCAATTTGGGCTATTGCCCTACTCTGTTTCTGGGGATGTCGCTGCCTCGGAGAACTGACAATTCCTTCCAAGTCTGCCTTTGATCCTAAATTTCATGTTATCTGTTCAGGTGTAATCTCCAATTTCCTTCTCCAATCCTCACAGACCCATATCAAATTCCATATTCCTTGGACTAATCAACAAAGGAACTCAGCGCAGACATTGTTGCATCCAGCCAATCAAATACTTTATGTCCATGCATAGCTTTCGAACGACATTGGAGGATGAACGCTGCTGTCCCTGATGGCTTTTCCTTATTCAGTTATATTGATGACTTGGGCTGCGCTCAACATATGTCAAAATCCGTATTTCTCAAATTTGTTTCCAATATCTGGTCCCGCACTTCCATGCAACACGTTCAGGGACATAGTTTCCATATTGGCGGCGCAGTGGAACTACTACTCACTGGCGTGGCACCTCATGTTGTGGCTGCAATTGGAGGCTGGACTTCTCTTGCTTTCCTGGTTTTCTGGCGGCATCTTGAGGACATTCTCATTTCTCAGGTTGCAGATGCATACGACGAGCATTGGGGTCGAGTACGTAAAGCAATGGAAGATTATAAGAAGACAAATAAGGTCTCGAATACCCTTATTGACAGCTGCATTCGCGGTGAGGACATGGTATTGACAGACAATTGTTAACTTCAGTATTTATATAACACTACAATTCCAGTCTTGCAATAAACATATGTCTTGTATGCCCTTGATTCTGCTTGGGGTTTGTAGATGTTGAGCTGCCTGTGTTGGAGCCTCGGGCTCTGCTTGGGTGTGTCCAGGCCACTCACCATCCACGGGTGGGAGAGCAGGGCTGCGTCCCAGGCAAAACCTCATCCACTAGTTGAGAGCACTCATCAGTGCTCTCTACATTCCCCAGTGAGCTCGGTTGAGCAAATACTTATCTTATCATTGGTATGCCATCTGCATCCCAAAAATCCATTGTCGCATCTTCAGGAATCCACCACGGTAGTACAATAAAAAGGCATCTCGGCCTTCTAGCGCATGGAAACCAAGAGCATTGACAATGGTATAAGAATGAGATAAGCTCTCGATGAACCTCTGTAAATCGATAATAATTTCTAATCCAGCGGCAGGTCGCGGCAGGTGCGGCAACTCCAGCGCTTAGATGGTGAACAAACAGACACCAACGGACATTGATATCTTTCGGATTTTGACGGGTGTCATCCCCTGACCATCTTCTTTCCCGAAATGTCTTCTTCAAATTCAGCATCTCATACAATGTGTCCGAAAGGTGGATCCTTGGCCCACAAGAAACTCAATTCTATACTAGAACTTATACACCTTTGTCGGTTACCCCTTGCGCCCTCCGCAGAAAATGGCATTGTATTATGTACTTTTGACCAGCAAGGTTCCGGATGGACTGCACTGGACAATGAGTGTCACAGTAAAAATAGCTCTTGGGGCAAAACAGGATGGTCAGACCAGATGCAGGATGTGGACTAGGCAGTGCGGACAGCACGGGAAGAGTTTTCCGGTGTACCAGTGTTTTGGTTGGGTCACTCCATGGTGAGAAACATCTATGTATATCAATGCTTACCCTCCACTGACCGGCTTCTGCCTAGGGTGGTGGAGAGGTGTTGAGTTTCATGACCCAGCAATCCTACGAAAGCCCATGTCATGCAGAAACCGTCACTTCATTGACCGGAGTTATCATTACTAGTCCCTTGATCAAACAAACAATACCCGTGTCCAAAACCCTGCGTTGGCTAGGAGAAAAAGTCGCAACTATATCACCATATACCCTGATCCCCGCTGCTGTTAGCCTTGACGTAAGTACCAACCAAATCAAGGTGTATGCTATTCATTGATGGTCCGCTCTTTGCAGGACCTGTCTCATTCACTGGAATTTAACGACGCATACTCCAAAGACCCACTGATCAAATCAACGGGAACCCTGAGAGGAATTGGAGAGATCTTAACGGAAGTAAGTTGCATCATGTTGTTGGATTCGTTGGACCTACAATAATCAATCATATTTCCCATCTTGAATTGACTTCTCTTCCCATAGGGCAAAAAATTGCTATCGATGGGATGCCATCACTGGCCAAAGAAGATTCCAGTATGCTCAATCTTGCTCTTCCCCGTTTCGATGATGAATTTAATGTGTGCCTTATGTTAATCAAACAGTTCCTATTGATCCATGGTGACACCGACAAAGTAACGTCTGCGAAGGCTACACAAACGTTCTTCAAAGTCATCGACACAGAGGATAAGCAAATTATGATATATCCCGTAAGAGCTTTCCAGATTTATCCTCACTTCATGCCGCGGTCACCTACGCGTCCTCTGTTTCTCCTCGTGCTGGACTTGAATGCTCATCATGTCTTATGTTATACAGGAAGGGTTGCATGAACTACAAAATGAGCCTCCAGTCATCCGCCAAAAATTCGTAACAGACATTGTCTCTTTCGTCCAAGGTCGAACCTCCACTCCTGTACCGCTGCGTGATTCCACACATGAACACACAGACAGCAATGAAAACATTGCCGGTGTTACCATTGCTTCGCTCAAGTCAAGTTCAAGTGCACCCAATTCCACAGTTCCTAACACACAATCGTCGTTGGAGATTGATCAGGATGGGGATGTCATGAAAGTTACGCCGAAATTGTAACCAACACACATTGCACATTTATTTACTCGGACTATCAAAAACTGTACGTAGTGAAACAGCCAGTCTTTTACTTGAGAAGTGTGTTCTAAATTGGTGATTCTCGAAAGACTTAGGTTCTGGAAAATCTGCCAAAGAGTGTCGAGGATTTCGCCATACTTGAATTTGATGTAGGGCAGTATTCATTCACCCACAAATCAGCATAAAAAGCCCAGACCAGATAATCGAAGTACATAAATAATATCGTCACATTCTACAAAAAACATGAATCCTTTCAAGGCGTAGCTCGTTCGGGCCATCTGCACACAATATGATAAGTGCTCATGTAATCAATTTCGGAATTGGACTGACCTTGGGTAAAGTGAGCATTCTCTAATGGTGTAGCGGTCTGCCAGCCAAGCTAGAAGTCGCTGTATGATTTCAGAGTTTAGTTCAAAGTATAGGTATATGGGCATCAGACTCACCTCGACTCCCAATCCATATCCCCCATGCTCACAAGTACCGTACCTCCTCTGGTCCGTGTACCAATAATATATAGAGGGATCCATTCCTCCCTGTTTGTACGTAGTAATCAGCTCGTCGTAATCTGATATCCTCATTGAACCGCCTACCAATGATGAGGATGAGCAATTTAATTGGACATTTAGATCATGAGATATCCTCACCAACAATCTCCCCAACGTTGGGTATCAGTAGATCACAGCTCGCAGTGAACACCACATTGCTACCTTCTTTCTGTGGCATCCTCTTCATATAGAATGCTTTCAGCTCCGCGGGGAATCTATATAGGAAGACCAGCTTCCCAATGATGTCCGTCATCTGCTCTGCAGCTTTAGCGATATCATTGCCTACAGTGTGTTCAACCATGATGTCTTTCCCGTTTTCATCCTTGATCGCATTCCCATCCTTGTCCTCTTCAGGACATTTGATTCCATGTTCGTTGAGCCAGATTATGGCATCCACATAGGAGAGAGGTAGGAAGGGGCGTGCAGGAGGTTGGAGTTTCGGTTTAAGCTGTTTGATAAGCGCGGCAGAACTTGGATTGGCAAGAAGAATGTCTACTGATTCGCAGATCTGGAAAGAGAAAAGGCGGTGTTTGCATGAAAGATATGACTATCACTTAGATAAACTTACCACTGCCTCAATCATTAAATCGTCAAAGTTGATAAATCCGAGTTCAGCCTCTAAGTGGGTATACTCGCTCAGATGGCGTCGTGTGTGACTCTGGAGTCAGAAGTTTAGCCTCCAATTATTTGATGAAGACAATGAGTGTCCATACTTGTTCTCTGCCCGGAAGCTCTCTTGCACGCAAAACACATCACCCACAACTGGTAAGCACGTTTCGAGGTATAGCTGGGAGCTTTGCGTCAAAAACACAAGCTGGCCGTAATAGTCTAATTTGAATAACGTCGCGCCACCTTTAACCATGGCTTGCACAAGACACGGCGGTGTCACCTCAATAGTAGAATGTTTAACAAATGTTTGGCGGAAGGCAGCCGGAAGGGCCGCGCGCAGTTGAAGTACTGCAGATGCAACTTCACCATGGAGGACTAAATGGCAGAGATCAGCTTGGATCGAAGGGTTGGTTTTCTGTAAAATTGCAGTTTGACTTCAAGCGTTGATATGCATGTACAGATCGCAAACTTACTTCGTTCAAACGGTTAGGGGTGCAGCCCCTACAAGTTGCCAGTGATTGACAATAATTTCGTGTCCACCAGGAGCGGTCTCTCCCTCTGGCACAACTTGAAGCATTCCTACAAGTTCTACGGTTGATTCTAGAGTGAGCATGAGTGCATGGTAAGTTTTGAGTATCAATTGATAAACCTAATAGCAACTTACGACGCGGCCTGAAAGAACAACTTGAAGATATCCTGTACCATCGCATAGAGTAAGAAAGGTGATATCTTTCTGTGGTCGTAGAGGTTGAACCCAGCCAAATACACAAACTCGTTTAGATCGATGTTCAGCAAGTTATGACACTGCGGGGATGAGCCCATTTTCTCACCCCGAAAAGGCTGAAATTATTGTGAGCTTGTGTACAAAACTCTCTAAATATGCGCATAGAGAATATTTTGAATAGTTCCATAATCATATCTAGCAGAATATAAGGCTCATATGCAGCAAATATAAGGCTCATATGCAGCAAATTATAAGAATAATCACAACAAAATATTGGTCTGATTATTCAAAATAATTACAAAATAATTGCCATGCATATAACATGAGGTTGTTCAAAATAAGCTCTGCAAGGAAAGTCTTTGTTCAGCATAACCTCGCTGAGATCATCCTCAAATCTGCAAAAGAAAGAATTTTCCCGCTGAGTTTATTTTGAAAAACCTCATGTTATATATATGGCAATTATTTTGCAATTATTTTGAATAATCAAACCAATATTTTGTTGTGATTAGTCTTAAAATTTGCTGCATATGAGCCTTATATTCTGCTAGATATAATTATGGACCTATTCAAAATATTCTCTATGCACATATTTGGAGAATTTTGTACAAAAGCCCACAATAATCTCAGCCTTTTCGGGGTGAGAAAATGGGCTCATCCCCGCAGTGTGAGTTGTACCTTTCCAATTAATGGGCGCTTAATCATCACTTATGTAATTCCATCCATATTCGACATGCCAGGAAATGCCTTTGCAAGGTTGTTACACCGTCACGTTCGTAAACTGCGCGCCTTCCCTCGAGTATGCCGCGCCAGAGGAAATCGCGCGAAACGTCACAGAAATTGAAGCAAACGACCCTAACCGGTAGCATACAGTCACCTAGTCGCGGAAGGAGCAAGCCCTCCCCCAGTCAACCTGTCGCAAAACGGAGACCCATCGACTATTTGTCTGATGAACAAAACGAGCCTTCGGATGACTCTGATATTGGTGCTTTGAAGTTAGAGCCTAAGGGACCGGTCGAAGATGATGATGAATTAACCCCTTCGCCTGCGAAATGGAAACGAATGTGTTTCGTTGTGGGTAGTGATACAGAGGAATCCGAAGAAGATGTCCCTATTGCGAGGCGAGGAACACGGAGTGTGAAGCGAAAGGAAAGAGACAAGGTGAAGAAGAGGAATGCGCCTGTGAAGAATAAAATCGGAAAAGGTCATGCCGAAGGGAAGGGGAAGGAACCGGTAGTTATGTCGTCGGATCCAGATTCTGGTGGTGGATCTCCCCCCCGTCGTCGAAAGCTGGTGAAAGGGAAACGACCGGCTGCAAAAAGTGACTCGGAGGAGTCCGATGAAGTAGAACCAGAACGTGAGCTTTTGAGAATTTACGCCCAGTTTATACCTCATCCGGCAGTATTATCGTTCTTCAGGTATAATTGAAAGCCGCTTCCGTTCTCGAGACAAGAAGACAGAATACCAGAAGAACCTTGAAAGACTGAAACTTACGATTCATCATTATCATACGGCGTTCTCACTCACCAATGAGCAGGGAAGAAACAGGGAAAACCTATGGAATCAGACGACGACGACGAAGACGAAGAGGAGATGGAGGAAGAAGAAGAAGCTCCATTCAAAGGTGCAAGGCCGGACAGCGACAAGAATAGTCTCTTCGACGGCTCTGAATCGGATGGCTCTGAAAGCTTCATTGTGGAAGACGACGGGGCAGGTTTAGCAGCACTTCCCGTTGAGTTCAGCATGGAATCTCATCAAGATCTCTCTCACAATTTCAAGAAGATATTTCAATTCTTTGTCCATATTGCAGTACATCCTCCAATCGAAAGACATGAATTCATGGAAATGCAAATGAAAAGTCAGTCGCGATCTGCAATTTCTCATTTCCTCAACTCAAATATATTGCTTTGACTGCATAAGATGAGGTGTATTTCTCTGTCCCTCTTTTATCTGTGCGAAGAAAGATCATTGGACTTCGAGATTCCTTGGTGGCTTCGTCAGTCTGGAAGCCAGAGTTCAAAGGTCCGCTGGAGAGATACCCAGAACTGGATCTGGTACAGCTCGAATTTTCCATGCCTGGTTGCGATGCCTGCAATCTAGGAGCAAGGATGTCCACATTGAACGGTCGTTTGTTAGGAGAACCTTACGATCGTCTGGGGTTCGAAGTAAGCCTAGACAATTTCACAGCGTCCCCTTTGTTCACAAACCCATATCAGGATCTGGATCTCTCCGACGAGTCCTTGAGTGAAGGTGAATGCAGGACTGATTTCCACTTAGGCAGATTTTGCGCTCGGCGTACGCGCGTATATCATGATCTTTCTCATTGGGAGGTAAGCCTACGTATATGAACATCTTACCTTTCGCGATTGACGATATGTATTTTGCACAGTACATGCTATTCAAAACCATCAACGAGGAAGTTGATGATTTGCATGTCGCCAAGCAAGAAAAGGGCGCTGGTCGCTTTGTCCGTGTCGCTTGGCCCGAGGGACTACAGCCTCCCAAGGACCTGCAAGACGCAGACGGTATCTGTGATTGGCTTGACCAAAGAAAAGTCGTTGAAATGGAATGGGAAAAGTTGAAGGGCTACATGGAGCATGCGCGTGGATTGGAACTTGCAGCTAAGAGAGGGGATGATGCAGATTGATGTGTACTATATCTATGATTATGACACTGTATCATAGCATTGCTCTCTTGACTGAGAAATAGAGAGAATTCCGAAGAAATCTTGAATTACAGTAATACTACTGAAAACCGGGAGTCCTCCATCGCACAATGTAAAACCTTCACGAATCTATCTATAGTGTGCATGTAGCACTGCATACTAGACCGGTATCGACTTGTGATTGATGCATGATGACTCGCGGGACGCTCAACATGAACCTGCTTTATATACATTGACAAGGATAATGAGAAAGAACAAGAAATCTCGTATTAAGGAAAGGATAACATTACATTACGAAATAAAACCAATGACAGGGACAGGAGTGGTTATCAGTCCGGGACCTCAAAATCACTACTTTCTATCTCTGTCCCAGTCATCATACCTGCTTCCACGACCGTAATGGTCGCATCTATCGTAGTCGCAATCGTATCTTTTGTAGTCGCGGTCACGATAACAGTCGCGATCCCGGTCCTTGTCGTCACGATGATCTCTATGGCTGCTGCCTCTGTCATCATGTCGACTGCTCCGACTACCACAGCAGTCGTCACAGTCGTGCGCATATCTGCATGGAAGTTCAAGTAAACGCTAGTAAACGATCAAGGAAACAAACATACAAACATACAGATATTGGGGCTGTACAGGTGAAACGAAAACGGGAAGGTGGCTATGCTCACCAATTGAGGATAACTTGTTCTTTCGCCCACACCAACACATCGCCTGCTAATACTACCATACCATGTCTCAAAACTCGACCAAAGAATCAACATGATTCATTCACACACTGCCCCCTAGTGCAGACTTTCCCCCAGGGCGTGTTTCGTTGGGATGAGTAATTAAATGCAGTGTCATGCGCAACAGTGCGCAACTGGAAGATTTTCAATGGAGAAGAATATCAGAGTATATCGAGTTACTATAAATTTGTAAATCCGCCATATTGAATTCACCGAATCGTATCTAACGAGGCGTTCTCACTTGACGATGAGCTTTCCGACGTCATGGAGAGGCTAGTCGAGGCAGCGGAGAGAATACGAGGTCTGCCAAGGAGGAACGTTAAGCCTTCGAAGGAGTCGCAAAGATTCTGAAAGGGTACGGTTTTCAAGGTAGATGAGGATTGTCTGCCGGCATACAATCCTTTATAAAATCAGGCAGGAGCTGCAGTGAACACTGTTAAAAATAATCAAGGCTGGGGCCATTAGGCACTGTTTGAAGAACCCCATCAGCTCAAAAGCTTTGCCGCGAGCAAAATATGAAATTGCTAGGCCATGACTGTCTGTGGAATCCCCAAAGCCAAACTAGTAGCTTTGAGCCTCAAGCGTAGATATTGGGAGCGCGATCGCTTTTGACCAAAAGGGTTCTGGTGGATTTCGAGACACTATGTCATTGCCGCATTGGTCAAAAAGGGTTGTGGTGGTGGTGCAACTGAACAGAAGGCAGTTTCCGAGGAAGCGAGATAATTTCAATGGTACACTACTACACAGAACTTTGGTATATTCTTAAGAATCGGAAGGAAGAAAATTCTTATGAACGCACTTTCAAGAATATCGTCAATCACCTTGCTTGCAAGGTCTATTGCACTCCGGAATTTAGATCGTTTTGTGCAGGCACGTTTTGGTCATGTTTTGGTCTATTTGTTTTGGTCCAGAAATTGCCAAACACCACTAATATCTCTCTCATTATTTATCTCCACTCTTATACTACTTTATAGCTTCTACTTTGCCCTAAACACCTTATTTCTCCTCTTCTATGTATCATATCTATTACTCACTAATATCTTTTCATGAGTTCCTACCAGTCCTCCCAAAATGACTATGTCCATTTCCACTCCCACTTGCATTAGCCAGAACATCTGCAAAACCTGTATATGCCAGAGCAAGGATACTGGCTAGAGAGCACTCTCCAGCAATGAAAGCACCCAGAGCAAAAATCAAAGCCTGCTCTGGGTGCTTTTGCTGCTGGGAAGTGCTCTGAAGTGCTCTGAGCTGCTTTCAGCTATTTAGCCAAAAATACAGGTTTTGCAGATGAAATGTATATTCTCTTTCAAAGTCCTGCTCTTCATGCAGGTACACCTGTATGCTCCAGTCCATACTTTTTATGTCTACTAGCATCTGTTTTCTCTTCACTGTAAAGTACTATGTTTTCCTCTCCATATACAAACATTGCATCCATTGCATTTGTCCATTCAATGACACTGTTTTTATCCATTTGCCTGTTCACCTTTGTGGGATTCATATTTGGCGCTGCAACTTTTGGCATGAAAATTCTGTTTGACATTTCTAGCATCGGTTGTTCAGATGTGCCCTTTGTTGCATCAGATTTCAATCCAGGTATGTGTTGTGCAAAGAATGCATACAAATTGAACACATAGTCTACATCAATTCAGAAACTTTACTCCCCAACCCACTCACTGTGATGGATTGGCAGATGTGTTGCATTTTCTTCTTTGTCCTGTTTCTATGCTCTTAGTCTTCTTCTTGTTTGAATACCTGTCACTTGCAACTCAACTGGAACCAGTGCCAGTCAGGATCTGCTTCTGCTGCAATTTATTCCAAAACTAACCACTAAACATGTGATCTTTCTTGCTATTTTCCCCCAATTACTCAGATCTGACTTGTAAGGATTGTTTCATTGAATGTACAAAGAAACCAACAGCCGAGTTTTGCGTTTTGCCATGCACTGCTGTGCAGTGGTCTACAATTGCATGTCCCTTGTCCCAATGCCATTGATACTTTCTTTTGATGCTGTTCCTGCAGCTCCCAAATATGCACCATTTGCAGTCAACATTTCTGTGTATTGTTCTGATACTCAATACCTCCTTGCAATGATAAACTTTCCCCCAAGACACTCCTTCTCTTATGCACCCTACAACCCCCCCTCCAAAATTTCCTTCCATTGAATTCAATACTGCTCTCAACACACAGGTCCATACATGATGCCTCCACTGCATGGGCAAAGAGAGTTTTTGAAAATGGAAGGTGAGGCATTGAAATCATCAGATTGTGGCTGGCATTGCAGTGGGCTGTGGTGCACATTCACTGATGCAGGTACTGGCAGACATCTGTGGTCAGAAGTGTTACAATATACTCTATATGTACAATACCTTGCAATTGTGTAAACATCATTATTACCAAATACTGTACAGTATGGACTTACATCCCATGGCATGGTAATTTGACCACCTCAGTTGCTTTACAGACAACTGAGATGAGTCCTAGGATTGTTAACATTCGATGACTCACATACCATCTATGGAACATCATTCTCATATTACAAACCACTATCTCACTACCGTGTTATCAATCTCACCATCGTGTACTATTACTCTAGGACTACCAGTAGGATACATCGTATTGTACTTCCTTTCTCTCTCACTATGTTTAGCTGTAACATGACATCGTCTACCTTGGACTTGTATATAAACCTGTAGTATTCACCTCGTTGAACAAGCAGTCCTCTCTACTCCTTTATCGTCTGATCTGTGTGATCAGCTACAGTGCTGTGTGCACTCTATCTCTTACTGCCATTGCTGCTGAATATAACGTGATTATATTCTAACAAGGATATCTACTACATAGACCAGCTAGTTGACTATCTATGTAGATCACACACTAACAGGTGCTTAGGACAATTCATGGTTGCTTTACAGACAACTGAAATCACACACTAACAAAAAGACATTGTTGGAGATGGTAGATTGGACAAAAAAGTAGAGAGTTGCATTGGAACAGTGGAACACCATGTCAAAACCATAAATGCCCACCATACAATGTACATACTGATTATTGCACTTCTTTGTATCTGTAGTACTCACAATTAAATTATTATCTTTATGTGATGAAAAGCATCCAGTAGCAAGCAGGGTGCTGTCCACGACAGTGGAGCCTAGTATCTATATTGGATCCAGAATTCTTGTGAATCTTGAAGAAATTTCCTGACTAAGCCTGCAACTCTTAAGAATATCGTCTGGGTGTTCACAAAAAAATATTGGAAGTCTCTTTTTTTCTCAGCATTGTCAGCAAACAATTGTAAAGCTGATTACAAATGTCTGCCAGCGCACTGACAATTTTCAAGTTCTCTATCGTTTTTTGTTGTTGTCCTTCCTCCTCAATGTCAACTTGCATCAGCCCACAAACTGGAAGCAAGTGTATGCTACAAGAGTCAAGAGATTCAACGTCCTTCAAATAGTTGCTCCTGCAAGGTCTCAGTTTTGGCTTCAAGTCTCAAGGATGAAAGTCTTCCACCATTGTCAATGTTGTCAACGTCGTCAATACCATCTCAACTTCCACCCTCAGGACTTCAAGCTCAAATTCAAGAGAATTCAAGTGTCAACATTCACTAGCACTTCTCAATAGGCAACATTAGTAACTAATATCAGTATATAGGGTAGACATGGCATGTAAAATATTGTAGTCGTCGCAGTCTTGTACGGACTCGACAAGCAAATAATTCTCTTTTTTTTTTTATGGTCTCATATTTGATGTTAAATCATCTGGTCATGGGCCAGGATCCGTGACATGAGTGCGCGAGTTGCGAGGCATTCAAAAATCTGACAATATTCTTACAAGTTCATTCAAAATTCTTAAGAATTGTAGTTTTCAAGAAATTCTACAGGTTTGGGCGCTCCTCTATCTCAGAAGTTCCTTAAGAAACCAGTCAAAATTCTTGAAAGAGTGCAACCATAAGAGAATCACTGAATTCTGCACACCAGTGTATGTAGTAATAAGTAGACCACACCAATCATATTTCGAAGAAATTTGAGCAATTCAACAGTTCAGGGTGAACCTTTGTAGCATGAAATAGGATAGGATAGAGGGAGGCTCTGTACGTGCAACGTCAAAGTGGCTTTGTGCAAACAACTAGTGATGGTAAGTCAATGGAAGGACCCAGAAGTACATGTCCACTCGAGGATTGGTGTCAGTAATGAACTATAGTCACTTCCTTTGGTTCATTGTCCACATTTGATATGCTCCAAGCACACCCATCGACAGGTCTGTTGGTCAGAGTATCTCCACCAATTCAACATGGTAATCCGCTTCCGACCGGGGAAGCTTGGTGAGAAACCCG